TGTGTCATCTTCTTCCTTCTCTCTTTCTCAGGTACCGAACGACCCTCTCTCTCTCTCTTGATTTTCTTTCTTTCTTTTGCTCTCTCTATATGTATATACCAGCCTGTATATGTTAATTTTTTTAATATCAAAGCAACAATCTTTACTGAAAATTAAAAGCTGTATTTGATTTAAAGTTTCTTGCTTTTTGTGGGTTTGGTAATCTTTTTAATTGGCTGTTATGGGTTTTTTTTAGAGGGAATTTAATTTATTTGTTAGCTTTGAAAAGGGCAGCTAAAGTTTTTTTCTTTTCTTTTAATTAGTGGGATTTGGTGCTTTTTTGGGGTTAATTTTAAGGCTTTAATGAAGGCAACAGTTTTGGAATCTGATCTGGGTTTTGTTTATTTTCTGTGATTCGTGTTAATACAGATCGGTTATGAGAAATGATTGGTAATTAGTGAAGTTTCCTGGCAGGATTTGCATTAATCTTGTTTCGCCATTTGAGCTAGGAGTTAAGCTAGAAAGAAAGAGAGAAACCTAATTCAAGAATCTTGGGATTTATTTTTTGTATGATTTGATTTGATGTGCAGATGTGTGGTTTAGAGATTGTATTTATTAGATGAACGGTTGAAACTTGTGGTTTAATATTTGGGGTTTTTGGTGTTTCTGTAGGTGTGTGCAAAGATAGATGGGAAGGGGAGAGAGGGTTAACTGTAAGAGGAATCTCAAGAAAAGGGTTAGGGATAGAGATAAGGGTTCTGATGATTCAGATGAGGATTATGTGGTTGAGAATGACGAAAATGTATCAGATGATGATTCGGAGGATTGTCGAGTTTCTTTAGATGGGTATGCATCGGAGGAGTGTTTTGATAGTTTTGTCGAGGAAGAGGAGGGGGAGGATGAGGAGGAGGAAGAAGAAGAAGAAGAAGAAGAGTTTAGTAAGCCTGTTAGATCAAAGAAGAAAAAGAGTTCTTTAGGGAATGGGAAAATTGAGGGTAAAACTTCTCGGAAGAGAAAAAGGGTATCTTATGAGGATGATGATGGGGATGAGGAGTATGTTAATGATGATGAGGACGAAGACGATGAAGAATTCACACCAGATGAAGAAGATGATTGTTGTTTGGATGAGGACGAAGAATTGACAGTGAAAAGGAAGAACAGAATTGTCAAAGTGGTCAAGAGGAGAGTGCTGAAAAGGGGTTCTGGAAGAGGTAGAAAAAGGAGGAGAAAATCTAGGGTTACGAAGAAGCCGTTGGCAAAGAAAGGGAGAAATAAACGTAGGCTGAAGAAGAAAGAGAGATGTGAATATGATGATGAAGATGATGGTGATTTTTTAGCCGATAGCCCAGGTGCGAGAGAAAAGAGCAAGAAAAATTCAGGTGCGAGAAAGAGGAAATTTGCTGTAAATTCAGATTCAGATTTTGTGTCTAATGGGGGATCATCTGATTACGACTATACCATTTCTGAGGAAGAGAGAGAGCAGGTGAGGGAGGCCAGTCAGTTGTATGGAGAATTGAAGACTAGTTTGAGGAGTTCGTCAGTTGGGAAGAGAGTTCAGGAGAATGGGGATTTATGCCAGCAGACAAAACCACTAGGAAGAAAAGGTAAGGAGAAGGTAAAGGAAGTAAAACCAGAGTTAGGAAAGCAGGTATGTGGAATTTGTCTTTCTGAAGAGGACAAAAGGAGGTTGAGGGGAACACTGGACTGCTGCAGTCACTATTTCTGTTTCACCTGCATCATGGAGTGGTCTAAAGTAGAATCTCGTTGCCCTTTGTGCAAGCAAAGATTTAGGACAATAACTAAGAATGGAAGATCAGCAGTGGAAGTGGATGTGAGGAATATGGTGATACAAGTCCCCAAGCGTGATCAGGTATGTCTTCAGTGTTATTGCTTTGTGCCTATTATTTGCGTTGTTCTTTGATTTTTTCTTATTTTTTGTTTGGATTGGGTTATTTCTTTATGCAGGTTTATCAACCAACTGAGGAAGAAATCAGGAGCTACATTGATCCATATGAGAATGTGATTTGTAAAGAATGCCATGAAGGTGGGGATGACGGTCTCATGCTACTATGTGATCTTTGTGATTCATCTGCACATACCTACTGCGTCGGTTTGGGGCGGCAAGTACCCGAAGGCAATTGGTACTGTGATGATTGTAGACCTGTTGCTCTTGGATCCTCAAGTTCCCAAGCTCAAGATCCTTTGCCTGATCAATGGAATACAAGCAACAACATATTTAATAGACCATCGCCCATTTTGAATTTAGAAGAAGGTTTAGATCCCAATCTAGAGTCCTCACCTCGTTTAACTGTCCCACAAGTATTTGGGAGTCTGTCGTCTCCCAGATTTCCAACTGGAGATATTCAGGTAGCTTCTCCAGTGTCTGGAGCAGGGGCATCAACTCTCTCAGGGAGACGTCATCTACACCGTCATATACGAATCCTCCTTTCAAATAGGAATCCCTCAACAAATATGAATCCTGTGGCTAATAGAATCGATGCCCTCTCAGCTGCTAGCTTGCATAGTGATCTTTCAAACTCACAAATTGATCCAGGTAGGGAAACAGCTCTTCAAAATTTAAGGACGCAAGAAATTGGGACATCAGATCAGACACTCCATGAGGAGAGATTACTGGCTAATGATCGTCACTCCTCTTCATTTGAAAATAGGGATTCTTTTTATCTGACACCAAACCAATTGAGAAGGCAAACAGTTCAGGATCCAACTATGGCAACTGCTGACAGATCTGTCAATTTGACATTGTGGCCTGAACTCATGGGGATAAACTCGATGCCTAGTTATGAACAATTCCATCAGTTCAACAGCAGATCAAGCACTGAGCCTGATGGTACTTTGTCCTCATACCAAGGCAGAGGAGAAAGCCAATTCTATGACGTGAAGGAACAATTGCAATCAATGGTCAAAAACCATCTGCGAAGCTTTTCACAAGATATCGAATTAGGTATGTGAAACTCTCTCTCTGTTTTTTTTTTTTTTTGGCACCTAAGTAGTATATTTACTTATCTGGAGAGACAGGAGTTGATGGAGAAAACAAGCTTCCTGTTCTGGGATGTTAAATCCCTGTAATGTACTCAGGACTTGCCAATATTCATCACCATACCTGAGTTTTTATTTGGATGTCCTTTTTCATGGCAGCCTTGAAATGCTTGAGAATTCTTGTTTGTTGGTTAGACGCATGGCAGTTACTTCGAATTCATTGCTCTCAACCATGCATTGGAATTGCTTAAAATTTGGCTTATTTCTTCTAATGCAGACCATGATACGTTCAAGGATATAGCAAGGAGTTCTACCCATACCATATTAGCTGCTTGTGGCCTAGAGCACAAGAGGAGTGAAGTTCATACTGTGCCCCAACCATCAACTTGTATACATATTGATAGAGTAGTCGCAGGGCAGACAAGCGTGATGAAAGGTTGTTGCTCATCTTGTTTTGATTCTTTTGTAAGGGACGTAGTGAAGAGGATCATGGACACAAGACCGCGACAGTGGTTGACTTTAGGTCTTTAGGGTTCGATGCAGGGAGAAACTATTTACACTCCCTTTTTTTGTTAGAGTTGGACAAACATTTATGGTTAACTTGTTCATAAACATAATTGACTGACATTTGAGCTCACAAAAGCTCCATTCTTATTCGATCATGATACTCATTGTTTAGACTGACTACATCATACTGTTGTTTATTACCAATTCCATTTTATTTCAAGGCTACAAGTTTATTTTGGTGCCTCTTTTCTGTCGGATTCTGCCCGTGCTCGGTATAACATATATTAAAGCCAAGTTGATGCCATGGCAGGTGCTTAACTATCACTAAAGAATACTGTAAAAAAATAATTAGGCACCATTTAAAAGAAGTGGGATATAAAATATTTGTGGTAAATATATCTATCTATCTATCTTTATATAATATTCAAAGTTTTTCATGTCTTTAAAATTTAATTGTAGTCCATTTTATATTGGTAATGTTTGAAATGTTCAATTTGTTATTTCGATTCATTTTTTCGAACAAATAATTTTTTTCAAATTGAAATGTATTCGGTGAAATGTAAAAAATAAATAAAAAATAAAATTTTAAAACCTTAAAAAACAGAATACTTAGGTCATGTCAGTAAAGTTTTTTTTTTTTTTATTAGAAGATATTTTGGTCAAATCTTTTTTATGGTTGAAAAATTTGATTAACAAATGTGATTTACAGATGGAGATATTTACTCAATATTTATATAGAGAGGATAAAACATAAATCTAATATATTTAGTTTGTGAGATGACAGAATATGAAGGTCATGTAACTTCAAATGTTTTTTTTTTTTTTGTTGCATTTTAATTAAAGGTATTTTGTTTTTGTTTTTTTTTTTCTTTTTATGGTTGGAAAATTTGATAAGAAAGACAAATAGAATATTTTAAAATTTTTTAAAAACAGATGGAATGCAATTGAAAATTTAAAGACAGATATAAAATTTTAAATATTATATAAATACAGAGGAGTGTATTTATCTAATATTTTACATACAAAGGATAAAACATAAATCTAATGTATTTAGTTTGTGAGATGACAGAAATGCAACATGTTTGGTTCAAATAAGTTAGTTTAATGCTAGAAAAAAGACTGGAAAAAAAGATCAGAGTGGATTATATGTCTGAGTCGTAGGATCACAAAGCCAGGGGAATCAAAAGGTCTCTGTTGTTATTCCAGTTATAGAGAAATGGCTTCAGTAAGGCCAAAGAATTAAGCAATCTGACCTCCAGCAATCCACCAAGCAGCTGCATAAACACAACGGCTTTAGCCAGGCTCTTGAGGTCTCTCTCTCCCTCTCTCTAGTCTCTACTCTCTATATATTTAGGCTCTTCAAGATTCAATATTTTTGAGAGTTTTCATTGAAAAGTTTTTGTTTTTGTGTCATCAAGTTGATTAAATGATCTCCGATAAGTGAAATGTGACCATGTAACTTAAACCTTTGTTTCCCATTTTTGTGTTAGATATCAGATGGATGAGGCCAAGAGGCTATGGCCGGCCAAGCAGTTGGAGACATGGTGGTTCAGCTGGACTTAATATTTAAAGTCCATCGCTTAGAAGAAGCAGATAGATATTGTTACAGCCTTCCTGACCAAAGGAGAACAGACCTTAATGGCGTTGAGGATAAACATCTGGAGAAAGCAGAGGCCACGATGCAGACAATGAAGGAACTGGGGTGAGCACAACCATTGTCTTACAATTTGATGGTAACCCTTTCTTCAGAGAGAAGATATGCTTATGAGTATCTGCTCTCTTTGTATGCTGATGTTGGTAACCGAGATGAACTATATCGTTTTGGGATTTCTATAAAAATTCGGGAGGTTTCTGTTCTTCAGACTATCTACATATGATACACTCATTGATGAATTCAAACACATTGATCAAATTCAAACGACTTCGATGGCTCTGAGGAGGCTTGGGACGAGCGGTTATCAATGCAGATATGCTTGACATTCAAGTTCTAAATGCAATGATTACGGGTTATTAGAAAAAAGAGTGTTTGGGAAAAGGCCGGGGACATTTGTAAAAAAGATTTTAGAGATTGGAATGGAACTTGATGCAGACTCATTTGATCGTTTAACCATTGTATATCGAGCAGATGGCCAGACGGTGAAAGCAGCAGAAACAATAAGGAAAGCAATTTCAATAAGTAGTTTGGGTTGCCAGCCGAACACTAATGATCATAGTTTAAAATAACGATCGCGGTTGAAAAAACAATCACGATTACGATCGTGGATCGCGATAACTAAATCATTAGTGTCTTGAGGGTATGAAAGGGATGTGGAAGCAGCAGAAGAGCTTTTCAAGTTAGTTATGGAACATTGTCTTTGAACCAGCTACTTATGATAAATTAAAGACTTTTATTGAATATGGAAACCTGAGGACCACAGCATTCGATCAAATCATTGTTGTTATGCATGTTGCCCAATGCACAGTAGCTGAATACTTTACTAGATCTTGTTTTCCCATTTGTGGCCTGAATTTATGTTATTTTTTCCTTTTACCCTCAATGTCAAAAGATTGGGGCATGTCAGAATGAAAGTGACATAAGTACTGGAGGCAAATCTGCTTCCTAGTCATGATCTGGTATGGTTGAATTACTAAAACTTATTTTCAACAATCGGTCAACTTGTATTACCTACAAGAATTTAGTTGATGCAGGCGATAACGCATAGTTTTAAATAAGAATATAACGATCATTATGTAATGATTTCAAAATATTTTATTATCGTTATTTTAATATTATAATAAACTTGATTCGTGATAACAATCATAATCATTATAACGATTTTAGAACATTCTATTATTTTTATTTTAATATTAAAATAAAGTACGATTCGCGACAGTAACCGCAGCCTTAAACTATGGTCTAAGGTCTTAAAGTCTTCTTGTCGCTTCCTAAAGACAGAATATCAGTTGTTTCAGTTAGTTTCACAGATACGTGTATTTGCTATATCCCTTGACCTAACTATTATAGTTGAGCTCTAGGCCAACGTTATCAGCAGAAAACAAGCAACCCAGTGCATTGAAATTAATAATAAAACACACAAATTTTTAATGGCTAAATTACTTTAGAATATGCTTCTCTTTGAAAGAGAGTAAATTATAAATTAATCCTTCTCGTTTCAAGAAAAGAATTAATTAGTCTCTCTCATTTCAAAAACAAACCATGTAGTTCTTCACTTTTAAGTATTAGCCAGATCTGTCAAATTAATACCTAATACCTACAATACATTTTAACATATTTACCCATTTATAAGGATATGGTTTGGTGTTTGAGAAGAAAGAAAAGAAATGGAGATTAATAACATGAAAAGTAGAGATTTGAAGAGAGATATAGAAATTTGTTTTGGTCCTTGAAGAAAGAAAAAGGAAAAATATAGTGAGAGAAAAATAATGCATAAAAAAGAAGACAATTTGAAAAAAAAAAAAAAAACAGAAAAAACACCTCATCTTTACCCCCAACAAAAAAACTGAAAAAAAAAAAAAAACTACGTTATTAATAAAGTTAAAACATAAAGGACTAAATAATTAGTTTTTGAAATGAGAGGGACTAATCAATTCATTTCTTGAAACTAGAGAGACAAATTTACAATTTACTCCTTTGAAAGAGCAGTTCACCGATCCAGGTGTCGCTACTGCTAAACCATGCAACCAGCCCTGCCACCTTAATGCGGCCATCAAACACATAGATTACCAGCTAAAAATCATTCAAGACCTTGCAGACACAGGTCCAGGGTCTGCAAAAGTGGGTGGGATAAAAATGTTTTATGCTAAATGATTTCTTTATGTTACCTAGGCTGGCAGGAGATACATTCTAAGAGCAGATTTGTGTTTTTGTTCATGAAAGTTATTTTGTAGCTTCAAAGAACTTAACCAGAAAGTTACACAGATCCATTAGCAAGGGAGAGCACTTTTAGGAAAGAACTAACTTTTTTCTCTCTTCCATTTAATCATATGACCTGAAAGTAAAAGTCTGTCCAACAACTAAAGCTCACATGCAACATAACTTACACTCATTCCTACATTTTATTTAACACTCCGCGTTTAATACACTCCCATTTTCACTACAAACAAACCATAGATTGCAGGGCTCTTAGTAGTAAATCTGGCATCCAATACCATAGTAGTAGCAGCATGAATCCACTTCTATAAAATGTCATCGAGAATTGTAGACAACAACAGCCCTTGTACGAACTCACTCCTCTTCGCCTTCTCTTCCTTATCCTTAATTGACATGGGAGGTGACTTCCTATTTCTGCAACCAAAAACAAAAATATAGCACATGGATGAGAACGGTCAAAATGTTTTTGCATTTATGTGCATATGATCCAACACTTGATGCAGGACTATATTTCAACAACTCATACAGGTACACAAATGATCCAGCCAGGGATGGACTTTAAAGTGACCTTATTCTTATTCAAGTACTGACAATTCAGATGATCGAACAGCATCCTCCCACTGTACACGTGACCTAAAGCTCGTACACTCAACTCAGAACTTTGGCAAACGTGACTAATTACTTAACGTTTTCTCAAGTTCTTTATAGTTTCGCTCTGTATAGTGAAACGCTTCATGTGAATATTGGTAAATATGATGTAGAAATGACAGTATCGGCTAGGCCAAAAAAAAAAAAAAGCAGTTCTTGGTAGAACAACCATTTTGGTTTATTTATGTAAATCAGTGATAATTCCAGAAAGTATCCAAACCATGGCATCTCTTCCCTTTGATCCTATCTTCTCTAAGAGTTTCATTGAAACATCAAGGTGATTGACCAAAATGATTGTCTGTGATACAGTTTAAACAATCATACTTTATCATGCAATATAGATAAGAATTAATTTAGTGCAAAAAAGAAGACAATCTACAACTTTTTAGAATGGATGACAGAAAAGAACTAACATGCATGTGAGTCCCAGGATTCACAGCTTATTGTGTTTGGGCTAGGTGAAAGTAGGACAAAATTAATATGAGCTATTTCTGAGATTCTAATCTTTAAAGTCTACAACATGGTCAGGTATTTGTGGCATTTCTAGTCCAGCACAGAATCATGTAGCAAAATATTTGCACTTGTTGCATTAATTTTATTATCAACTAGGTAGAAATCTGGAATTTAATATGACAAATATACTACCATAAAAACTCCCATGGTTAATATCTATTAAAAAGGTAAGTGCATCTAAGATCCCCTTTTAACTATATGAGCAAATTACCACAGGGACTTGTTTTTCTCTGTGACAATGTACTAAAGAAGATAGCTATAATGATATAGATTTACAGCAAATACAAAGAATTTACTGTAAGAGTTACGTAAAACAAAACAGGAGAGACAGAATATAACAACAGAATAACATACCGTTCTGAAACATTCCCATCCAAGCTTTTCTTGGCCGAGCTTGTTTCAGACAAAAAGGAAGGTTGAGAATTCGTGAAATCATCAGCCATGGGTAAAATGAATGAAGACAATAACGGATCAGGTGCTGCATTGGATGAGGAAACTATACAGGAAGAACTGCCAAAAAGGGATTGTAGATTTCCTTCTCGCAGCTCTTTCCTCAACAAAGAAAGGGTTGAATGAGGTCCACCTCTACGTGATTTCCTCTTGCGCTGCATGTAATTACTTGTTAAGGAACTCAACACAAAAGCAAGATCATTTTGGTGTGCAAAAAAAAAGGGTAATGCAATAAATACTTGACAGAAAACTAAAGCTCAAGTCAACAACGATGAAAACTTATATCTAGCTTTTGACCAAAAGCATAAGAAAGCAATCTAAACACCCTCCTGATAAAAGCAAACAAGAAGTCCGAAGTGGTGGTGCATGCAACCCCACACATGACCGCAGGGGGAGGAGGGGGTGGTTGGGGTGGCGGGGCGGGGGGCAATCATTCACTTTACTTATTTGTGATAGGCCATGGAAATTGCTACTTTCAAAGCCAGAAATAACTCAATAGAAAAGGATATCTTGAATATATTTCCATGTTGTAGGGTTATATGCGCAACCATGTCAACCCCAACCCTCATTGAACAAACTGGGCAAACCTGTAAATAAACAGCATCCATCGTGAGCAAAATTAACCTTCAATAAGATCTCCACATTGGAACCCATAGCAAATAATGTTGATATTCAAAAAATGTAGTGACTTAATATGATAGGAAATGACCTCTTACATTTTATAAATCAAGGCCAGTGATGCACCCTAATTAACCCCATTTACAACAAAGCGCTTTTGTGGTTAGTAACCCCCATTCCTATCATCAAATGTAAAGTTTACTAGAATGGATGAATTCTTAAGTCAGTAAGGTCAAACCTCCTATCTCATAATTACCATTAATGTCTATGTCCAAGAACTCCAACCATAAATAACATTGAAGGAAGAAGCACTATTGAGAATGGCATGGACGTATATTTGAGGCTACCTCAAGTCTACAAAAACTTAAATATGCACATATATGATAAATACTTCAGGCACTTGGACACACCCAAGAGATAAAGTTAACTTAGCTGATTCAAGTTGGGCTAAGTCGGTACTCAATTGGTTTTCAGTGATACAAGCATGACAATAGAACCATTTATTCTAGACAGTAGGATCCCAATTCTCATGATTTGAGGCCATAAACATGAAGTAGCATGCTACAGGTATGACTAGAGAAGAAATCTTAATGACAAAATAAATGAAATTTTGAACTCTATGAACACATGCAATTCAGCTATTAAAATATATGAAAGGAGATTAAATACCCCATTCTTTGATTCCACGGGATGCTCATCATCAATGTGACAACACAACCCAACAATATCAAAATATTCGGAACAGAATGGGCATGGAAACTCCTCTCTTATATCATCATCTCCATCAATTTCTTCAAACCCCATGAACATATCTGCATTTGCAAACATTAAAATAGTTAGTTGAAGTTTAAGAGAAAATTTCCTTAGTTTATTACATTCAGAAACAGTAAACCTCCATTTGATAATAGTTGAATTCAACTTAATCTGTTAAGATTCACGATCTCAAGCATTCACCACTGATATCGGCTAAGAGGGGGCACTTCCCTTATTAACTCCTAATAAAGAACCCTTGTTACCTTAGGATGATAATTTATTTTCCAGCTTGCTAAACTACGATAACAACACTCAATCTTTTATACTGCATTTACTCAATAAACAGACACAATGCTTTCACAAAGAGAAAACAATTTTATTCTTTATATTTATCAAAAAGAAGGAACCTTTCAGTTTCAATTCCAAGTAACAGCCATATCAAGCTGAGTGAAGTGTAGTTTCCCTTTCAGGGGTTACAAAAGCCATAATGAAAACACCTTAGCACCCCAAATCCCATATGTTTCATCTTTCCTCATTTTCCCATCAACAAAACAAACCAAAACACTCTTTTTCAATAAAAAAGAGAGTTGGATTCCAAAACCTTATAGTTTTCTTCATATTTTCAATGACCGAACAACTAAAAAAACCCAACTTTAAACATTTAACACTTAAAGTCGCATAATATTCACTTCCCAGTTATTTCTTAACAACCAAACAGACCAATAAACAAGCAAAAGACAGAGAAATGACTTCTGGGTTAGGTGCAACCAAGCTCAAATTACTTAACAATTCAAACTTTAAACATCAACACTTCAAATTCCCATGACTTTTCAATTTCCTAATCATTTCTTAGCTATAAAAACAGACCAATAAACAAGTAAAAGACAAAGAAATTACAACTGGGTTTGATTCAACTAAGCTCAAATTGTTCAAAAATCCAAACTTCATAACTTTGAAAGAATTAAACTCATAATATTTAACTTTTTTCATTCATTTTCTCAGCAACCAACCAGACCTCATAGATAACAAGAAATGATCATTTTCCAAAAACTCAAAAAAAAAAAAAAAAAAAATCCCTCACCAGATCGTGATTGAAGAGCTGATTGGTATCTCTTAGAAGCTGAAGAAAGACGAGCACTCCATGAATCAGCATCCATAGCTTCTACCTTTTAATTTAATTTAATTAATTTTCTTTAAAACTCCAAAATTCTCAGCCGATCCTCACTTGTTGAAAAATCCAAAAAGTGGGTTTGCTAAATCGATTTTTGAAGCTTTGATCCTGAATTTATGCAAATGAATAACCTTAAATTATGGGGTTGAATCAGAGGAAATGATGATATCTGATAAGGTGGGTTTTTATTTATTTATTTTTTTATATAAGGAGAGAGAGATAACACAAGGAGCTGTGTTTTGTTCGTCGAGAAAAAGGGAGTTTGATGTTTGTTGTGCTGTTGGTTTTAATATTTTCGTTTGTCTTTTTGATAAATTTCATGATTTTTTATTTTTTATTTTTTGCTGTTAATTTGGAAACAGATTTTATATATAGTCAATTTTTGGACATAAAAATCAAGTGTTCCAGTTGTCTTACTAGCTGTTTAGTTTATTTAAGGAAGTTGTGTCAAAAAATATATCAGTATTTTTCCAAATGAGTAAATTATAAATTAGTCCTTCTTGTTTTTAAAAATAAATTAATTAATCTTTTTAAATAAAACAAATTATTTTGTTTTTCATTATTAAGTTTTTATCAAATCTATCAAATTAACATTTAATTCTTAAAATACTTTTTAACATAAACATCCATTCTCAAACATATGGTTTGGTATTTGAGGAAAAATAAATAAAATAAATATATATAAAAGAAAAAAATAAAGCATAAAAAGAAACATAAAATACTGCAAGAATGATATATTATCACCACTCTAACAGAAAATTAATTAAAAAACTGAGTTATCGACAAAATTAAAATTTAAAGAATTATATAATTAGTTATTGAAACGAAAAAATTAATTAATATGTTTCTCTAAACAAAAAGACTAATTGGTAATTTATTTTTTTTCTAAGTTGCCATTCTTTTGGATCAATTTTGTTGTATAAAGACTAAATTTTTTATTATATTGAGTTCAAAATGTATTTTGTCCATATTTTAACTAATAGATTCACAAATTTAATATTTTATCTTAAATTTATAAAATAATAATATACTAAAACAAAATTAAATTTTTTTATTTACTTTACATAACTTTTTACTATGCATTTTTCTCTTTGTTTATTAAAAAGAAAAACTATATTTATGTTCAATAATATTTCTATCTCAATTTTTTATTTTTTTTAGAGAGAGAGAGAGTCAATCGTCTTCTTTTGTCTTTACCCTATGCTTAATGTTTTTAAGCATGTGAGAGATGATTCCACTCTTTTCACTCGCTACTTTCCAATTTGGCGTGGAGGCGGCTTGCCCACTCCGCCATTCGATTTCTAATAATGAGGGGGTTTTATTATCTTATAATTACAATTTTATTATTTATGTATAGTTGATTTATTTCTAAAAAAGAGAGGAAATTATAAATTAATATCTTTAGTTTTGAAAAAAAATAAATTATTTTTTTACTTTAAAAAATAATTATTTAATTTTTTATCCATGTCGATGATGCTAAATTTAATATTATTTTATTTTAAAAAATATTTTTTATCAATAATTTTATTTTTATTTCATAAAAAATTAAAATAAATTGAAAAAAATGAAGTTCCAAAAAAATATATAAATAATTAGTTTTTTATAAAAAAACTAATTAATTGTTTTCCTCAAATTATAAAAATAATTTTGTGAAAATGGAACACAATTAATATTATTTTTATAATAAATATTTTAATAATTTATCTCTTTTTTTCATATAATTTTCAAATTAAAATTGTTTTTTTTTTAATTTCAAGTTGTTTTTTTTTCAGATAAATAGAGTTTTAGAATTTTCAACTCTTCCCTTTGTGGACCATTGTGATTCATTTGCTTGACCTATTTTAGGCATTGGAATTTGCAAAGCCATTCAATTGCAATAAACTCAACCTAGTTATTACCTATCGCACCAATGGGCCACGAAAACACTAAGGAAATTGCCCATTGTTTGGTTGCTTCTCAAACACAATATCATTAGATACATATGCACACAAGCACCAAAAGTAATGCCCAAATAAGTTAGTTGATACGATAACCAAAACACTCATTCAATCTAAAATTTCATAATTAAATTTTGTTATTAGAATGTCCAAAATGATATATCTATATTTGTATAGTCTTATTTATAGAAATATTCTAAATTTTGATCCAACAACACGATAAGAATCTTTTCTATGTATGTTTATTCCAGTGTCAAAATACAATGTTTTATGTCCTAATATAAAAATCCAAAAATTTTATTTTTTGGAAAAAGAAAAAATCAACTATTAAAGTCACAATTCCTCACCAAATTTCTATATCAAATAGCATGAGTAATGATTGAGGAGAGAAAAAAAAATTGTCAAATTTGTTATGAAAAAAAGTTCAAAACCAAATAATATTTGCCAATTGTTCTTTAATGACAATTTTTAATTATATATAATTTTTTATTGCATTATTAATTTTGAAATTAAATCACATGTATATCTAATCTCGAACCAATTTTCACTTATAAAAATAAATCTTTTTAAGTTAAAACTTAAAGTAAATAATTCGTATTTTGAACTAGCTTGACACATTTAGTATGGGATTTCATAAATTAAAAAAAGTCGAAATACAAATAATTCTGTCCGAATCTTGTTTTAAATCATATTTTATAAGTCCATCTTTTTTCGAATATCGGATAAACCATATGTAGGAGGCCATATCCGAGGCTTGAGAACCATCAGCTATTAGGGATAGTAATTTGTCCTAGCCCAACGGAGCCTCATCCCTCAAGCAGGGATAGAGCAAGTATTGGATTTACCTGTCATGTCCCGTTTGTCTTGTTTTTTTTATTAATAGTATAATTATATCCTATATAAAATTTATATTTAATGATTTTTAGAGTTTATTTTTTATATAAATTATTATTATTTTTTATAGTCTGAAATTTAGGAATAAAATGAGATAAGATGCGATGAAAAAAAGGATAATTTTTGCTTCATTTGCTTCGTTTTTTTTTGGGGGTGGGGGCCACGAACCTTGGAAGGGTCCCACTAAACAGTTAAGTAAACCGAAAAAACCAAACAAAAACCAAAGCAAGCAATCCCTCTACTTTAATTTTTTCTTAATTAACCCAACTCCACTGTGTCCCAAAACATTTCCAATATCTCCGGTCACGTGACCTCCCGCCATCTTCTCCGATCTCGATCACGTGACCTCCACAGCACCACCAGATCCATAAATTTTGATTCTTGAGAGAAAGAGAGAGATTAATTTTTCCTTTTTTCTAGTTAATTTTGTTATGGCAACGAGGAATCGGACGTTGATATTTAAGAAGTATAGAGATGCATTAAAGAGCGTTAGGGGTCCATCGAGCTCATCGACGTCGACGAGCTCCAGCGGAGGTGGTGGTCCGGTGATCGAATTGACTAGTACTTCGCTTCTCAATCCTAATCGGAAATATACTGCTCTTAGTACTGAAGATCCCGGTAATTCAAGGTACACATACAAATTCGTATCCGTAACCGTATACATATACGTATAAAGATCTGCTTGGTGCTTTTGTTGTTATCTAATTATTTAGTTTGATTAATTTAATTTGATTGATTCTAGTAATTTGAGATGTGGAATTGAGAGTGTTAGCTAAAATGAGATAAGAAATAAGAGATTTTGCAGTGTGATTTTGTGGAGATTTTTAGTGTGCTTTCTAATGAAAGTCGAAAATGTGTGGCAAATAGACAATTTTTGATGGGTTTTTAGTTTTGAAGCGAATGTGATTGGATTTGTCGGGTTGTGAGAGTTCAAAGTTTTGTAAATGGAGTTAACGCGAAATGTAGCTTCATTGCAGGAGAGTATATCCGGGAATTCTTTTTGGCTGTGCTTTTGTTTTGGGATTTTTGACTTGTTGGTAGCTGTAGGTGAAGAATGATAAATGTATGTTGAAAATGGATGATGAAAGAATTGAATATTTATTCTAAATGGTAGTGAGAGAGCATGGGTAGAGGTTGAATCGAATTTGGGTCTGGGCAATGATGATTGGCCTGATTGTCCTGTGCCCATGTGGGTTTGAGATCTTTTATTGCCTGCAATTCTCAAATATTGGATTGGTTTCTTAGATATTTCTAGTCAAAGGCTTTTGTGGAATTGCTAGAGAAGAGCGTGATTGTTGTGTTGGAAGCTGGTGTGAAGATTGGGGATGTTCTCCTTTATGTTAAACGATGTTTGAAAGAAGTTTTGATAGATATGAATATTAACTTAAATTACTCAAGGTATTTCTTCTGAATCTTAAAAGCTGATTGTTTTTTTACTAGTCTACTGTTGCTTTCTTAATGGTTGAGCATTTGCTGTAAAATTTAATGGTGGCCTGGTAGGAACGTTAAACAGTTGTTCTCTTGATGCAGTAAAGGTGCACTTACAGTAGGTTTACCACCAGCTTGGGTGGATGTATCCGAAGAAATAGCAGCAAATGTGCAGCGTGCACGTACCAAAATGGTTGAGTTAGCTAAGGCTCATGCCAAAGCTTTGATGCCTTCATTTGGTGATGGTAAAGAAGATCAACGGACAATTGAGGGTTTAACCCAAGAGATAACTGGTCTTATAAGGAAATCAGAGAAGCAACTAAAAAGACTTGCAGCAGCTGGGCCTTCTGAGGATTCAAATGTTAGAAAAAATGTGCAGGTAAGCCTTAATTTTCTTGGTAGAACCAACTACACGAGACCACAATGATAACTTGCAACTAAACACACGGAATTGCTAATGATTTATTCTTCTCCCATATGATTTTTTTGGTGCATAATGGGGCCTAAGAACCCCCCCACCCCCAAAAAAAAAAAACCTTTAAATGACAGTTACGGGGAAAGCAACCCCAATAACATCCTGATAAGGTAAAAGTGAAATTCTAACTCATTAAATGGTTTATAGGCATCTGTTGTTCCTCTTCTTTCCCTCTTGCTTATCCAATTGAGAAATTAGAATATCTTCTTGAGAGTTTCTTCTGGGCCATGCACCTATAATTGTTAGATGAAATGATTGCTCTCTCCAATTACCATTTAGCTGTGAACTTGGTGATTCCATTGTCTGCTCTATGGCATTTTATCTGCAGTTAAACACTTGAGAGCTTACGCATTCCTTACATGGTGGGTTTGTCTTGTGAATTGTGCTTATGTTGCCATATTTTTATCTGCAGCGTTCCCTTGCTACTGACCTTCAGAACCTTTCAATGGAACTTCGCAAGAAACAATCAACTTATTTGAAGCGCCTCAGGCAACAAAGAGAGGTCTGGGAAGGATTTCTTTTCTTATTTGTACTATTGAATATATTAACATTTTCTTATAATCATTTTGTTCTGGTTTGTTTTGATGTGCAGACTCAGGACGGTGATGATTTAGAAATGAACCTAAATGGTGGTAGATCAGTAATGGATGATGACAATTTTGACGACATTGTATGTTTCCATCTTAACCTTCTCCACCTTAGGTTTATTGTTAGATATGACATGTCTTGAAATTTTTTGGTCCTGCTTAACAAGTTGATAGACAAAACTTGCATAAGAAATTTTGTGAGATCTACCGTTTGTCGAAGATGGAGCCCACCACTAATCTGTGTGGTGGTTCAGGGTCAAAGCCCCCTTGATATGGGTCTATATTGATATCAATCAGGGCTGTGTTTCTTTTCTTTCCTTACGGATTTGGGGTCTCTTCCTTTCAGTTATATATAGGTGATATTCAGGTGTACAAAGATTCAAGAGATTATGAGAGAGATTGTGCTTTGTATTTACTTGTTTAAAATAGTATAACCTCTTCTTTCTCTTCACCTGTGAACATAAGCTTAAGGTTGAATCACATAAATTGCCTGCACCTACTTATTCTTCTGTTTTCTTCATTCCTTTTGTTTGTTTTGTGCCCTAAAGCTGTAGTCTAAATTTATTTTCGTCATTATATCTATCCGTTATGTCCAGAAACATTATCTAAATAGTTTTGTAAGTTAAATTTCGTTTTCATAGTGAGAATTCTTGCACCTTTGTTGATTACTAAATAGTTTTCTTCACCTTGGTTGATTACTAAGAATATTATATGAATGATATATTAGGAGTTTAATGAGCATCAGATGGCCAAGCTGAAAAAGAGTGAGGCATTCACTGTAGAAAGGGAAAGAGAGATCCAACAGGCAAGTGATTGCTCTTAGCCCTTTTCTTCAATATCAACAGTAATCTGGTAGTCTCCTTCATTTTTTAATACTTTTTATGCCTTTGCTATTGATCTTTGTAGGTAGTTGAATCAGTAAATGAGCTTGCTCAGATTATGAAGGACTTGTCAGTACTCGTAATAGACCAGGTTAAGAGCTTCTCATCCTTCTTGTAAATACCCAAATGTTATTTTTCAAGTCACTGGTCACTAACTGGTTATTTCTCTCCAAACAGGGTACTATTGTTGATAGAATAGACTACAACATTCAGAATGTGGCAAGCACAGTTGAGGAGGGGCTTAAACAACTGCAGAAGGTGCCCTTCTTACCCTCAACAATCATTCATTCTGCCTTCCAGAGCCTCTCTCTTTCTCTCATTTTGCATGGCATTGTTTGTATTGAATGGATTTGGCACTGCAGGCTGAGAGAACACAGAAACGAGGGGGAATGGTGATGTGTGCCACTGTGCTCATTATCATGTGCGCTGTCATGTTGATCCTCCTTATCCTCAAGACGATCCTCTTTTGATCGTGAGCATAGATATTTCTGAAGATTCTCTTTTGATTTGTGAGCTTAAATATTCCTGAAGTTCACTCATTCATAATGCTGCGACGCTTCCCACCAAATGTTACACTCTTGTAGATGGCCATATCTTGTCCAATTGAAGAATGCAAGCTCTTTGAATTCCCCGAATACATATACCAGATTAATTGATTACCTTTTTCTTATTCTTTTTCAAAATTTTGTGGGGAAAGAGGGGAGGCATCTGTACTTGGGAATGAATGCCCTCAAGATGTATAGAGCTGATACTGTATGTGGTTCATTTGTCACGGATCTGCTAAGTTGATTCTTTCGATTTTTGAGGATGTTGGAGCATGGTGCTTCCAAATCCAATGCTCCGCGTTACGAGGAGTAGAGGTTTTTTTAATTGTTTGTATCCAGTTTTGTTCATGTAATATAAAAAAAGTGAATTCAGCTATGGTTTCTGTCTCTTGATTGCGATTAATTTCATATTATCCTAGCTTCAACTGCCCAGATGTATGATAATTCTACTATACACATATAAAACTTTGAATCAATGAGTTGTGTTTTACCATGCCTGTGCCTATGCTGGTTATGGAACTTGATGATTTGAATTATGTTTTCTTTCTATTAGGAATAGCAGCTGAATGCTGCATGTATTTGGTTCATGACTGCTCTGTAGGCAGAAGTCATAACATGTGCCTTGTAATAGACTACAATTTTCAGAACCAGAAGAGTACGTCCTAGAGAACCAAACCCCTTTTGCATTTGACCCAAGATTGCTTGTCAATGCTTGGGGATCAATGACTTTTGGATAGAGTTTTAGTATACTAACAGAACCTTCAATGTCCTATTAATCTTCTAACCCTGCATCATGTCGACCTTGAAGCAGCCAATATTTAACTTCATTCTGAGTCGAAGTCGTATCAAGTAATGCCATGCAGCGAAGTCTCCCTTAGATAATTGAGCAGAGAAAGATATATTTACATTGTTATCCCTATCCAATTCAATGCAATATTTCTTACCTAAATGCACATTATTAAGATGATGCAAATGTGGGTGGGGATGCTGTTGAGATTGGCTTTTGTAAATGAGTGGTGCCATTGCTGTTTGGAGGGAAGAGAGGATTGGTCTCTTGGAGATCAAAGCTTGGATCGAACCAAATGCATTTTACTTGACAGACTGGGTAGACGATAAAGAGGATGATGATGATTGTTGCAAGTGGGATAGAGTTCAGTGCGACAACAACACAAGGCGAGTGTTCGAACTTTACCTTCGGAATGCAAGGGAATATGTGAGATCGGAGAAGAATCTGTATCTCAATGCATCTTTGTTTCTACCTTTCGAAGAATTACGAACTGTCGACTGAGGGAATAATGGATTGGTTTTTGGCTTTCAGAATCAAGGTTCTTTGCATTTATACTTGTGAATTTTGAGCTGAATCTGTACTCATGGAAAATGCTTGTTGTTTGTTTTGCTTTGCAAATTCTCTTGTAGGTTCTGAAGTCCTCTCTTCAAGGTTGAGGAAATTGGAGGAACTTGACCTAAGAGATAATAAATTTAATGACAGTATCTTATCATCTCTAAGTGGGCTTCAATCTCTCATGTCTCTAGATCTATCATCGAATATATACTTGACTGGATCAACTGGTATCAATGGTAAAGCTGTAGATGCACTATAACAAAAAGGATCACTAGATGTTGACATTGAAATCATTCATCATAGATTGCGATATTCTTTCTTTTTACTTCCATCTGTCTCGGGTTTGAAGAAGTTCGAAATACTTCATCTAGACGGTATCAACTTCACCAAAAGAATTTTACTTGATTCATTAGCAGCACTGCCATCCCTCAAGACCCTTTCTTTTAAGGAGGGTAAATGATGTCTCAAGGTCAGTTGTAGTTTTGGAGCCTAAATCATCCATGGTCTGTATTACTCATGTTCTTATCATTGGATCTGTTGCATCTTTTTCACAAAACTTTGTAATTTGTGCAACCTTGAAGAATTGTTTCTGGATCATACTTCTCTCCCAATAAGCTTTCTACAAAACATCGGAGGTGATTTCGCGCTTAAAGTTCTGTCTCTGAGCAGTTTTAACCTCCATTGCCCCCTACCTCCTCAAGGTAAACAACAACCCTTCCTGCGTGCAATTGCATACATAAAAAGGTGCTCCCTTGCTATTTCTTGTCATGATCATAGATACATTTTACAGGTTGGTGTGAGCTGAAGAATCTAGAGCAGCTTGTTTGGGAAACTTGTCGTCTCTACAACTATTGGATGTCTCTGGAAATCAATTCATGGGGAATATTGCCTCTAGTCATTCATGAACCACTCAAATCTCAAGTTCATCTCCTGTGATGACAACAAACTGATAGCTGAACCTGGATTTCAGAATTTCATTCCGAAGTTCCAAATAATGTTTTTTAGTTTGTCGAATTTGTACATCAAAAAGATCCATTGTAGAATTTCCAAACTTCCTCTATACCCAGTAAGACTTGAGAGTTCTTGATCTCTTCCAAAACAGCTTCACCGGTATGTTCCCGTCTTGTCTCTTTGAGAATAATACCAGACTAGAACAACTATTCCTGAGAGACAATTGTTTTGTAGGTCCTTTACAATTGCCATACTATCCAAATCCTAACCTTTCATCATGAGACGAATCAAACAATGCCATGTTAATAGCCAAATTCCAAGAAACATGTGTTTGATCTTTCCAAATTTAAGGTATTTAAGGATGGCTAAGAATGGACTCACAGGTTAGTATTCCTTCTTGTTTTGGAAATATGAGCTTTCTGGAGATCTTAGATTTGTCCGATAATCAGTTGTCTGTTGGAGATCTAGAAAAGTCGACCTCATTAATGTTCGTCAAGTTTTCAAACAACAACCTGGGTGAGAGAATATCTCCCTCAGTTTTCAACTCATCGGCATTGCAATATCTCTACTTAGATGGCAACAATTATGGAGGACAGATACCAGATTTTCCATCGATCAAGCAACCATATTTATTATCATTTCTTGAGGCTATTCGATTTGTCCAAAAATCAGTTCGAGGGCCCGATTCCAAGAGAGTTTTGCAAGCTTGATAACGTTGCATATTTGACCTTTCGGAGAACAATCTTTCAGGTTCTAAACCATCTTGCTTCAGCCCACCACGTTTATCTCATCTCCATCTATCCAAAAATCAATTTACCTGTCCATTAACATATGCATTTCACAACAGCTCTTCCTTGGTTACCTTAGATCTCACATATAACAACTTTTCTGGCTCCATACCATTTTGGTTTGGCAATCTTTCATTGTTGAGTGTTCTTCTTTTGAAAGCTAATCACTTTGATCAGGGTTTTCCTGTCCAGTTATGCTTGTTGCCTCCAGAAACATTTTGCTAAAATCCCTGGGAGCATTACGGCCCCTTAAGTCCCTTTTATTATGGAGTAATAATTTAAATAAAAAAGATGATTTGTTCTGAATTACTATTGTTCTTGTCCATGGAATTGCTGCATCTTTTTTCCAATACCTATGTAATTTGAGCAGTCTTCAAGAGTTGTCCCTAGGGTTTTCTTCTCTCCCATTAAACTTTCTAGAAAACATTGGAGCATTGCCTGCACTTAAAGTTTTGCATTTGGGTTACTCTGACCTTAGTGGATCCCTACCCGCACAAGGTAAATTACAAACCTCTACTTTCTGTAGTTACATCATTATATCGATAAGAGGTGTTTCATTACAATTTCTCTGATATAGAGTTCTATAGGGTATGTTAACTAAAGAATATGGAGGAACTAAATCTGTAAAACAATAATCTGGAGGGCTTACTGTTAGGTTCTTTCTGTAGTTACATGCACTAAACTTGTCACATAGCAAGCTCATTGGATTCATACCTTCTACATTCTCAAACCTGAAACCTGAAGCATATAGAGAGCTTGGATCTTTCTTACAACAACTTAAATGGTGGAATTCCTCCACAACTTGTTGAGCTACACTCTCTAGCTGTTTTCAGTGTTCATACAATAACTTGTCAGGCAAAACTCCAGAGAAGAAAGCTCAATTTGGGACCTTTGATGAAAGCATTTATATGGGAAATCCTCTTCTTTGTGGACCTCCACTGCAGAACAGGTGCACTGTAACAGAATCACCTTCGCAACCAGTGAATAATGATTCAAATGGTGAAAAAGAAGATGGATTCATGGACATGGATGTTTTCTGTGTTAGCTTTGGGGGTAAGGTTCGTAATTGGAGCAATTCTGTATCTGAAACCATATTGGCGAAGTGGATGGCTTTGCTTCATGGAAGAGTGCACAGACACTTGCTACTATTTTTTGGTGATTAATTTTCGCAAGTCGTCCAACTTCAGGAGGTCATAAGGTAGAGCATACACTCTTTCTTGTTGTGATCTTCAGGTTCAATCAATAAAAATGGATGCTTTTTTCAATTCTTATTCTCTTTTCTTATATATATTTTTTCAAGTACCTCGTCTATTTAAAAAGAAAAAGAAAAAGAAATTAGAGAGGCAGTAAAAACAGAGGAGGATGCAGAAGCAGAAAGCAGAATGCAACTGCTAAATCATAGATAGGTTGCATTATTTTGGGGATAATCATAGCAGCAACAAATTAAATTAACAATTTTCTGTCTGAAAGACCACAAGATCAAAAGTTATTTATCAGAATTTTGGAAAAGAAATAGCCTCTCTCTGATCAAGAATGGCATTGGTTGCCCTGTCGGCTATATTTGTTCTCTAGGCAGGCAGGCATACGTTGAATTTCTTGCATGAAAAGCCTTTTGGGTCAAAAGTAGCTAAATCAATCAATGCTAAAAAAGGATTGATTTTCTCTTCTTCGTGGACCTCCATTGGAGAAAAGGTGCTGGGAAACAGAATCACCATCACAGCTTAATGAACCAGATAAGGATGTTTTAAGGAACAGAGACATCCCAATTTCCAGAACAGAGATTTAAATTGACTTCAAGGCATGGCTTCTTTCCTCAAGTTTTTGGGTTTCGATCTGTTCCTTCGGAGAGATAGGGAGACATATAAGCTGGGCTTGCTTCTCCATTGAATGTTAGCTCAGATGTTGGGCTTATTTTAGAAAACCCTTTCAGCTTCTTATAGGCCTGGTTTTGAATGAATTAATTAAATTGTCCGAACGAATACAACTCTTCAGACAGCTTAGCCCTTTTCCCTCATAGACCAAAGCCTTATCGTTCAGTCACGAATTCATTAGATATTGCAAATACACCCAAGGGAGAAAAAAGGGCAAAAGAGTTTCGAGTTAATTTTAAGTAAACCAAAGAGATGTTTGAGCCTACTACTCAGTACAATGTAGAGTTTAAAGACTAAAATGATTATATTTTAAAGATAAAGGAGTAAAAGATAGTTTTGTCCTCTAAACCAACAAATATGTAAGAAAAAGCATGCGGCATTTTCTGGGAGGACCATATTGTAGCATAAATAGTTGCTTGATTGATCCATAAATTTCTCACAAAGAGACAGCTCATGAAATACAAATTAAATTGGCATTTTTCTAGCCAAAAAAGAAAAAGAAAAATAACCACATAATGATCTGCTAACCTCGTAATGATATGGTTTGCTGGTAATTCAATTAATTTAGGATATCATCAGAAATATTTACCAGTCTTAATAAAAAAGCTCAAGTTTCCATTATTTGCGCAAATGCTTTTCTTCTTAAAGCCGACAACCACGAGGTTCTTTCCTGATAAAAAAAAATGCAATACTGTTTCTTAATACTTATCAAATAATAAAAACATTATGAATTAACTTATGGAGAGGTTTGAAACAAGAAGAAATTGTTGATAATTAATAGCAGTCATTGTCTCATCACTACTTCTGCTATATCATCCACAAATTAATCAAACATGGATTGTTTGGAATTTGACTAGCCAAGTTAGAGGAACACCCCGTTCCACAAGCTATAAGAAAAAAACAATACGTAGCAAACTAATAGACTAATGAATATTACATTCTTGGAAACTTTACTTTCCCAAGTCTACAACCCATTCCACAAGAGAAACAACCCATTCCACAAGCAAGAAAAAAGAGAGACAACTAATTTGATGGTCTTAGTCAATAAGACTCCGAGTCCATAAATTGTTTAAGTGGATTTCTGTAAGTCAAATGTCAATGTTAAGTGACATTAACGCCTAAAATAATACTTAAATAAAAAAGAGAAAATATATTAAAGGTAGGACAGGAAGGAACGCAAGTGACATAAATATCAGTCATTTTCTGGACAACAAGCACGAAGAAAAGCACCCACTCCACAAGCAAGAAAAAAGGAAACAGATTAGTTAGTCCACCTCTATTAGCTAGTTAGTGTTGGCATTAATGATTAACTGTAGGGTAATAATAGTAATTATCAGAAGTCATCTGATTTTTAATGTCTTATCTATTGATATTAATGATGAACCCTTTTAAGTGTTGAATTTTGTCCTTAATCAATAATTGTCTTGCAATTTAATCCATTAATTGCTTATGAACAATTAGAAAAATATTTATTTTGAACATCAGAACATGCATTCTTAATAACTGAGTTGGAATTGATTTTACTGACTTCATTCTTGCGATTGGACGACTAATCACTTGGCAAATAAGCTCAAAAGCTTTTTTTTTTTTTTTTTTGCCCTCTCCTTATAGCCGACAATTACGAGGTTCTTAGTTGACCAAAAAAATAAAATAAAAATACATTACTTTTTATTATATTTATTTCTAACTGATAAAGAGAATTCAAATAATAAAAATATTATGAATCAACTCTAATTGATAAAGATAATTCAAATAATGAAAATATTATGAATCAACTTATGAAGAGATTTAAAATAAAAAGAAATTGTTGATGATTAATAGCAATCATTTTCTTATCGCTAATTCTACAATATTATCCACAAGTTAATCAACTTAGAGGAACAACCCATTCCATAAGTTACAAAAAAAAAAAAAAAGACGAATGAATATAACTTTCTTGGCCGAACAATAAATGTCTTCAAATTATAGACTTATAGCTGTAGTTGTGGATGTGGTTGAGCATTCTTTTGGGTTGCTTGGAAACTTTACAATATATATATATTTTTTATTTCTATTATGGTGACAATTAATGCAGACTACGTTTGAAATTGTTACCTCTGAGCCGTTATGGTTGTTGAGAAAAAAATTAGAACAATCCCCTGTTTCAGAAAGCTTTCTTTATGTTTTTGGATCCTTTGTCCTCTTATTAACCTAATACTTATGGTTTTTTTTTTTCGTTTTTTCAAGATGAATTGGAGCTCTTGGATTTGTTAGGATATCTTCCACGTCTACATTGGTAATGGCAGTCATTTTCCGACATGTCTTAAGGTTTTCCAATAATCCAAACTCAAGCATACTCTGAAAGATGTTATTAGGAACAGAGTGAGAAGAGCACCAGAGTCCGTAAGGAAATCATTAGGAAATTGATGAGAAAATTAACTTTATTGACTCCCAGTCAATAAGGTCTGCGCAATTTGTTATCTTGCGCTCATATGGACTTGAAATACTACATTCATGAACACCATTTTCTAGTATAAATAGGTGGGAAGATTGTTACTGAAATGCTCACACAAGACTCCTCATTTTAATTAGTAACTATTTTTAAGATGAGGCAAATGTGGGTGTGGATGTTGTTGATGCTGGCTTTGGTTAATCGGTTGTGTCATTGTTGTTTGGAGGAAGAAAGGATTGGTCTCTTAGAGATCAAAGTTTGGATAATTGACCCCAATTACTATGCCTTTACAGACTGGGTGGACAATAAAAAGGATGCCGATTGCTGCAAGTGGGATGGGGTTAAGTGCGATAATACCACAAAGCGAGTGGTCGAACTCTCTCTTGAGGATACAAGGGTTATCTGAGTTGGGATTTGGAAGATTTGTATCTCAATGCATCTTTATTTCTGCCTTTCATAGAATTGAAGAGTCTCAATTTAAATTACAACGGTTTACTTTGTTGCTTTGAGAATCAAGGTTCTTTAACTTCTATTCTCATTTTCAAACTTGCGTATATTTCATAAACTTTATGCCGAATTAAAACCGACGGAGTATGATTTATTTATTTATTTATTTTTGAGAATTCTCTTGCAGGCTTCGAAGTCTTATCATCAAAATTGAGGAAGCTTGAGATCCTTGACCTACGTTCCAATCAGTTTAATGACAGCATTTTGTTGTCTCTAAGCCACCTTACATCCCTCAAATCTTTAGGTCTGGCCGACAATGAGCTAACAGGATCTACTAGTATCAACGGTAAGTTAAGACAAAATATACTAAAACTAAGTACTTCTCTTGATTTTAAGCCTATAGAGTCCACTGACTTTATTTTACTGTTTAATTTTTATATACACTCAATCGTTTTTCTTTTTGTTTTTTTTATCTCATATTTTTACTCTTTTATAATTATTTAATTTTTTAGTTTCAACTTTTTTTTTTTTTTTTAACTTTAAACGGATGAAAAAAAAAATAACGGTTTTCTATAAAAATAATACCAAGAAAAATTTACAATGTCATTATCAACAAGGAATTATTAGAGCTTGGGGGATTTGTATCTCAATGCATCTTTGTTTCAACTTAAATGGGAACGATTTACTTTGTTGCTTAAAAAATCAAGGTTCTTTGACTTCTATTTTCATCGTCTAACATAGGTACATTTCATAAACTTCATGCCGAATTAACACTGACGGAGTATGTTTTTTTTTTTTTTCTCTGCAGGCTTCGAAGTCTTATCATCAAAATTGAGGAAGCTTGAGATCCTTGACCTACGTTTCAATCAGTTTAATGACAGCATTTTGTTGTCTCTAAGCCACCTTACATCCCTCAAATCTTTAGATCTGTCCGGCAATGAGCTAACAAGATCTACTAGTATCAACGGTAAGTTAAGACAAAATATACTAAAACTAAGTAGTACTTCTCTTGATTTTAAGCCTATAGAGTCCACTGAATTTATTTTACTGTTTCATCTTTATACTCAATCGTTTTTCTTTTTGGTTGTTTTTATTTCATATTGTTACTCTTTTATAATTATTTAACTTTTTTAGTTTCAGCATTTTCTTTAACGTTAAATTTTTTTTTTTTTTGGGGGGGGGGGGGGGGGGTTCCTGTAAAAATAATAACAAGAAAAATTTACATGTCATTATCCACAAGGAATTATTAAAGTTTGGGGGATTTGTATCTCAATGCATCTTTGTTTTTGCCTTTCAAAGAATTAAAGAGCCTTGAATTAGGCTGGAACAAATTAGTTGGCTGCTTAGAGAATCAAGGTTTTTTTTGGCTTTGTATTCTTTTAGTAAAAACATAAATTTATATTTTGTGAAATTTTACATTGAATTTATACTGATAGAATGGGTGAAATATATACCTATAATTATTTTACTTCTGAGAGCTTTTGTTTCAGGTTTTGAAGTCCTAGCATCAGGGTTGAAGAAACTAGAGGAACTTCACTTAGTGAATAATGCAATTAACGACAACATTTTACCGTCTTTGTGTGCATTTTCATCTCTCAAGATTCTCGACCTATCAGATAATGAGTTGACTACAATATCAACTTGTATCAATGGTAAAGTTGTCGATCCTACCTCAAATGACATCCTCTAATTAGGCATATATAATTTATTGAAGTTTTAATAATTAAAGTAGTTGGCTTACTTCACATATCAAGGTTCTTTAACAGCAAGATTAGTTGACTGCAATGTCAACTGTTATCAATGGTAAAATTGTCAATCTTACCTCGATCAAATGACATGCATCAAGCTTTAATAGCAAGATTAGTTGGATTCTTTCGTACGTATATTATTAAGTGTGAAATTGGGCACTACTAGAGATTCAATTAGCAATAAAATATTATCAGCTCATTCCACTGAAGCATCCAAACTTGCAAAACATGTTAACTATGGGAATATTTAATTAATTATTGATTGTATTTTTTTTCCTTTCACGTGACACAGCTTTGAGGAAATTGGAGGAACTTTATCTTGCTGGGAATATATTTAATGATAGCGTTTTAGCATCTTTGAGTGGACTTTCATCCCTAAAGACTCTATACCTATCAGATAATATGAACTTGACGAGATCAACTGATGTCAATGGTAAATCATTCTGACCTCAAACCATTGTTTTATGCTTTGCTTTTTAATTTAAAAAAAAAACATTGTTTTAGACTTAGACTTATATATAGTACATGTGAACTCATTTAACAATTATGAAATATTTAGATGAACAACTCAATTGATAGAAATTAAAGTTGAGACATCCAATTATGAAAATTGAAAAAGTTCAGTCATTTAACATATTGTTATCTCAAAAACTAACAATTAAAATAAGCATACTTATATATGTCTTTTAATTTTATCCTTTTTTTTTTTTTTGGGTTGAAAAACTGACTGTGTAAAAAAAATTAAGTTCGAGATAATAGAACCTATTTTTGTGTAATGAAAGTGAAAATAGAATTGACAACAAGCACTTCGCATTTCAACCTCTTGGTTCCACAGTTGGCTTTATAAATTCTGAGAATACCAAAAAAATATTAATGTATATAATATACCATGTATATGTTACAAAAAACAACGTCCGTTTTTCATTTGGTTCATACGTTAAATACGTTTTTATTTTTTCACATTTTATTGACATCTTAGAATTTTAAATTTGCATTTTCTATATATTGTATCTCAATGCATTTTTATTTCTGCCTCTCATAAAATTGAAGAGTCTCAACTTAAATGATAACAAATTACTTTTTTGTTTTAAGGATCAAGTTTTTTTTATTTTTTTTTACTTCTATTCTCATGGTCAAACTTACGTATATTTTATGAACTTTATAATGAATTAACACTGATGAAATGTGATTTATTTTTTTTAATTTTTAATTTATATTAATGAAATGGGGTGATATATCTGCCTATAATTATTTTACTTCTGAGAGCTTTTGTTTCAGGTTTTGAAGTCCTAGCATCAGGGTTGAAGAAACTAGAGGAACTTCACTTAGTGAATAATGCAATTAACGACAACATTTTACCGTCTTTGTGTGCATTTTCATCTCTCAAGATTCTCGACCTATCATTTAATGAGTTGACTACAATATCAACTTGTATCAATGGTAAAGTTGTCGATCCTACCTCAAATGACATCCTCTAATTAGGCATATATAATTTATTGAAGTTTTAATAATTAAAGTAGTTGGCTTCTTTCATATATGAAACACATAAATTATGTGTATATTATTGAAGATTCAGTCAACAATAAAATATAATTATATTAGTCATTGAATCATCCAAACCATGCGCAAACATGTTGGTTATTGAAATCTTTAATTAGTTATTGATTGTATTGTCTTTTTTCTTTCACGTGACACAGGTTTGAAGAAATTGGAGAAACTTTATCTAAAGGGCAATATTTTGAACCATATCGATTTAACATTTCTAAATGGGCTTTCATTGTTGAAAACTCTAGACTTATCGTATAACGAGAACTTGACTGGATCAACCGATATCAATGGTAAATCATTCTAACCTCAAACTATTGTTTTAGACTTATTTAAATCATGTATATCTATTATTTTATTTTCTTATTGAATTATGAGATGTTCTCTCACCAATCTCACATTCCTAGATAGTACTATGACCTTTCAATTAACCAATTTCAAATGGCCTCAGGTTCCTTTCAATTACCAATCTCACATAATTTTGACAAAATTTAGATTTTGTTTTAAGGAAGAAAATTTCGAATTATAAGAACAGGAAAATGGATTAATTTATAAACCCTCTGAATTTCCCCACCTTCCTTTTATAATTAATTTTGTTATACTTAAGGACCAATCAAAATATAAATTTAAAATGGAAATAAATTTAATTTTCCAATAACCAATCAAGCAGATTTACTCTAAACTTCCAGTGTTTATTTTATAAATTCTGAGAATACCAAAAAAATGCTAATGTATATATCTTCAAATATACAGTATATGTTAAAAAAAAAAAATTGACGTTCCTATTTTTAGTTGGGTTCATATGTTAAAATGTTAATGTAGAATATGTGGATATTTTTTTGTATAAAAAAGTTATCTAAACAAACTGTCTACAAAAAGAATGACTTGAAGATCGTATTTTATGCGTGTGAGTGTGATAGACGTAATGGTACCGTGAAGTCTATGAGTGAACCCTTTTTTAGACAAATAAATAAATAAATCCGCACATGTATTGTGTATGATTTAAATTTGACTTATTTTATTTAATAACATTATCAAATAATTCAAACGCATTTATGTGGTGGAGAGAAAATTAAAATTTTCAAAATGATTCCCAATATTAATTTTTATTAATATATTTTAAGATTAAAGATTTACTTCTCATTGATTGAAATTTAAATTAGGTTTAGTAGTTTTTTTAATAGAATTCGTAGCATTAATACTATAATGTAATACGCAATAGAATTAGCCATATCAAATCATTTTAGTCTTAACAATCCGTTGGCTGATTCAAATCTACAAAATAATAATAATAATAATAAATAAATAAATAAAAATAAGAAAAATAAATAAATAAAAGAAAAGAAAAGAAAGAGAGCTAACGTACTTGATTGATTGAATACTGGTCAATTGCGAAACATTAGGCGGAATAAACGGATTTTGTTTTAAGGAAGAAAATTTTGAATTATAAGAAAAGGAAAAATGATTAATTAAAAGATTACCGAAATCCTCTAAATTTCTCCTGCTTCCTTTTATAATTATGGATCAATTAGAATAATTTTAATTTTCCTTTTTGTTTCATGTAACTTTGTTGTCTGATTATAGGACTGCATAATATGACCAAACTTGAAGAGCTGTTACTGGATAATACTTCTCTCCCCACAAGTTTTCTTCGAGGCATCAGAGGACTGTCTGCTCTTAGAAATTTGTCTCTAAGTGGATGTGAGCTTAATGGCATCTTGCCTGACCAAGGTAAATTCATCACCATTGAAAAATCGATATAGTACATCATTGCTTTATTACTATTCCCTAACTTGAATATATGGAAATATTGTACAGGCTTGTGTGAACTGAAGAATCTTGAACATCTAGATCTCACTGGTAACAAACTACAGGGTTCACTACCCCCTTGTTTGGGAAACCTATCATCTCTACTGTTCTTGGATGTATCTGACAACCACTTTGTGGGAAATATTGCCTTTAGTCCTCTTTCCCGTCTTACACAGCTTGAATTCCTCTCACTTTCAAACAACAGTTTTCAAATTCCAGTATCATTTGGTTCATTTATGAACCACTCACACCTCAAGGTCATTGTATGCGATAACAATGAGCTAATAGCTGCATCCAGTTTTCAGCCCTTAGCTCCAAAGCTCCAGCTTTGGGGTTTTAGTGCTTCAGGCTGTACTTCAGAACCACTCAAGGCTGAATTTCCTAATTTCCTTCATAGCCAATATGATTTGAGGGCTCTTGATCTATCCCACAACAACTTCTTTAGTGGACTGTTCCCCTCTTGGCTGGTAGAGAACAATTCGAGGTTAGAAGGACTATATTTGAGAAACACCTCACTTATAGGTCCTTTGCAATTGCCGCCATATCCAGCACCAAATCTTCTGGCATTAGATATATCCCACAACAGCATACAAGATCAAATTACTAGAAACACGTGTTTGATCTATCCAAATATGCAGAACTTGATGATGGCTAACAACAATTTCACAGGTTGTATTCCTCCTTGTTTTCAGAATATGAGCTCTCTTGTAGCTTTAGATCTGTCCACCAATCATTTGTCTTGTGAAATGATTGAGCACTTACCTTCCTCATTGCGGTCTTTAAAGTTGTCCAATAACTTTTTCAAAGGGCGAATACCACCTTCAGTGTTCAACATTACTGATCTACGTAACCTCTATCTAGATGGAAACAACTTTTTCGGGCAGATATCTGGTAATTTTTCAATCAATTTGCCACTTAAAGTGTTGGATATCAGTAATAACTTTTTGTCAGGCATGCTTCCAAAGGGGATAGGGAACTTATCAAATTTGGGGGCAATTGATTTGTCCAAAAATCGTTTTGAAGGTACTCTTCCAGTCGAATTTTTCAAATCCGAGTCGCTTGAATTTTTTGATATTTCTGAAAACAATCTGTCTGGGTCAATACCATTTGGCTTCAACACACCACTTTTACGCTATGTTCACCTTTATGGAAATCAATTGAGTGGTACATTGACAGATGCATTTTATAATAGCTCTTCTTTGGTGACATTAGATCTCGGAGATAACAACTTGACTGGCTCTATTCCGAATTGGATTGATAGGCTTTTGGAATTGAGCATTCTTCTTCTAAGAGCTAATCATTTCGATGGTGAACTTCCTGTTCAGTTATGCTGGTTAAAGAAATTAAGCATATTGGATCTTTCACAAAATAACTTTTCTGGTCTGTTACCCTCGTGTTTGAGCAATTTAAATTTTACAGCATCTGATGGTAAAACTTCTGTAATATCTAATTTGTGGACTTCTATGGGTCTTCCATTAGAAGAATATTTGACGAACATGGGTGTTGGATATATTAGTGAATCTGGGACGGGGCCAGAATTCAAATTTGAGACAATTGTGAAGTTTACAACAAAGAGAAATTACTATAGCTACAAAGGCAATGTCCTTCGTTACATGTGTGGTATGGATCTTTCTGGTAACAGATTTACAGGAGAAATTCCAACAGAATTGGGAAACTTAACTGGGATATATGCTCTAAATCTGTCACACAATAATCTCAATGGACCCATCCCTACATCCTTCTGCAACCTTGGGCACATCGAGAGCTTGGATCTTTCCTACAACAACTTGGTTGGCGTCATACCCATGCAATTTGCAGAATTGACCACTCTAGAAGTTTTCAATGTGTCATACAATAATTTGTCTGGCAAAACACCAGAGTTTAAGAATCAATTTGGGACCTTCGATGAGAGCAGTTATAAAGGCAATCCTCTTCTTTGTGGACCTCCATTGCAGGAGAATTGCAGCGAAACAGAATCACCATCACAAGGAGTGTCTAATGATTCAAATGAAGATGATGGCTCCATAGACATGGAAAGTTTTTATGTGAGCTTTGGTGTTTGTTACATAATTGTTGTGTTGACAATTGCAGCAGTACTTTGCATAAATCCATATTGGCGACGAAGGTGGTTTTACTTTATTGAAGAATGCATCGACATTTGTTATTGTTTTTGGGCTATTAATTTCCGCAAGTTGTTCAACTTCAGAAGGTGATAGAGTCTTATCATTGATATGTGGGTTGCTTTCTAAATTTGCTACGATTGATTGCATATCAGTTCAACAATTTGCAGTATTTTGTTATAGTGTGCTTCTATCATAACTTAGCTTTTTTGTTGATGTAAATTCTGCTTATTTTTGTCTTAATATGCTTTGTACTTTATGGTTTACTATTTGCTACGTGCCTTTGTGTTGTCCTTAATAATAAAGGATTTTATTGATAAAAACAAAATAATTTTGTTTTGGTGTATACGCCTTTAATTTTCAAAAATGAAAAAAAAAATCCATGTGAAATAAATAAATAGCACGCTCACTTCTAACCTGTTTCCTGCTAATCCATGTGAAATAAATAAATAAATAAGATTCTAATATTTCTTTTACTCTTGTTGTTTCTTTGACGGATGAGCCCTCTGCAAAAGCAAGTTCTAGTGTTCTACATTCGATATTATTAATGTACTTGAATTGCAAATAGGGATCAATGTAGGGATCATTAAACTTACTTTTGCAGGGTTGTCCAAACATATCCATTAAAGAAATTACTTACAAAAAGTCTCCTATATAGATTTTTGGTCATATGTACGTGTCTGTGATTCCTTGATAGGTTCAACAAAAATTTGGGCTGTAGGATTAATTAGGAGTAGTCCTGTCTCATTATAATACAGTTGAAGAATATTCTAGAATTAGGTAAACTCAAATCCAGTTTTATAAACGGAGCCTATCATTTTATTTTCTATTATCATTTTGTATTTACACAACTTTATACATTTTGTTAATATTTTTTAAAAAGGACCTTAACTTTCCAAAACTGTGAGTTGTTAATGTCGCTATCCGACGTCGATGGGACTTTCAAAAAATCTAATTTAAGATTTAGATAGATTTACAAAATTATTTATAAGTTTGAAATTGCCAACTAATATTGATGGAACTAAAAATATAAAATAGATATTGATTCGGAGATTCTAAGGTAAGGTGTTGATTACACTTTTGAAAAGATTTTTAATCACCCAAAAGTGTTTTTTTCAAAGAAAGATATCATGTTTCGTTTAGTTCTAAATTCATCTCCTAAAATGTTTTATTTATGACAAATTATTTTCTCGATTTAAAACTTCAATTTTTTAGGCCAAAATTAAGTTTTTTTATTTATTTTTTAGCGTGGTATCGTATTGAAATGATTATCGAACCCTTTCATCGAAGACACGTTAGTTTAAACATCAAATCCACCTTTTTGAGTCTTGACACAACCGTATGTCGAAGAAAACCTAAATTACTAATTTTTTTTTCTAACAAAAATCTCTATCGAGAGAAGACTTTGTTAAAAATTTTATGATTATTTATTTATTATTTTAATTTAGTGGAAGATGGTCACCAATCCTTAAAGAATTAGAAAACTTGACAATTCTCTACTTATAAATTATCGAGTATAATTATGAAACAAATAAATTAAGGTTACATTAATTAAGTAAATTAAATAAAATTAAAATACTAAAATCGAAATTAATAACAAACATGCATAAAAAAATTCAAAATAAAAATTCCATTAATTAAAATAATTATAGAAAATTTACACATAATTATAACTTAAATATAAACTAACAAACATGCATAAAATTTAAAATTAAAGTTACATTAACTAAAATGATTAAAGACAATTAAACATCTGAATTAAATATGAAGGGATAAACATACATAAAAATAAATTTAAAATTTACAACTAAGACACACATTTTTTCTTTCTTTCTTTCTCTATTTTTTTTTTTTTTTTTGGTTGGAATGGACTAGAATCAATCCATTCCAATTCATTCATTTTTCGTTTTTTTTTTTCACGGAGTTCGGGCTGGACTGCCAAAGAAATTTTTTCGGTTCGGACTGGCTGGACTGATTCAGTCCAGCCCAGCCACACATAAGCCCAACCCAATCCTTTAAAAAAGACCCAAGCCCACAAACACTTCCCTCTTTTTTTTTCTTCTAAATTTCCGATCAAAGACCCACTCTTTGGGTTTTCCCCTTTTCTTTTCACCCGCTCTCTCTCTCTCTCTCTCACTCACTCTCACTGTCTCTGTTTTCTTTACCCTTTTTCCCCCTCCTCCTTCTTCCTCCCAAAACTGTCTCTCACCGTGGACGAATGGTTCGTCCTTCTCTCTCTTCCTCTCCCCTTCCTTTTTTATCCTTCGTTTCTTCTTCTTCCTCTTTGCCGAATCCTCCCCCCCCTTTTTTTCTTCTTTCTTTCTTCTTTCTACTCCCTCTCTGCCCAGACTCCATGGACGACCAGAAGCTTCTGGTTCATCCCTCCATTTCCTTGTCTTCTCTTTCTTCTTCCTTTCTAAGTTGAAATCAAAAACCCCCAAACTGAAAAATTTTCCCCAATTTGTCCGAATTCTATGTTTTTTGATTTTTCAAATTTTCCTTTCATTTGGGTCGAATTGGTTTGATTTCTCTTGAAATCAAACCAATTCAAACCCACTTAAGCCATTATTTCATAAAATCCCCAATTTGATTTTCTTCCGAAATTTCCCCTAATTTGGCCGAAACCCTAGGTTTTGATTGAAGTCAATTCGGCTTCAACGTTGGGTTTAAACCCCGAATTGAAACTCCAATTGAACTTAATTTCTATTCCCTAATCCAATTTCAATTCAATTTCAAAACATCCCAAATTCCGAATCAAAACTTAAATTGACAGTAAATCCGAAATTAAAGAAAGATTAAGGAGGTTACCTAGAAGAATTGAGTTGAGGATGATGGTGGTTGCTGCTCCAAAACAATTAAATTTCTCCTCTTCCGTATTTTATTTTATTTTTTTTTATATTTCGGCTTCCTTTTTTAGTTACTGTCTTTTTTTTCTTTCTGTTTTTTTTTTTTTAATTTCTTTCCAACTTTTCTCTACTGATTCCCCAGACTGATTTTCGGATTGAACCCCCGTCTTTCGTTTGTGTTCACTGCTATTTATATATGCCTGTCAATTGTTGTCTTGGTTCCCCACCGTTTGATGGATGTGGCGTGTTGTGGCGATAGAGGCTGACAGCAGAGTTGTGGGCTATGGCAGTTGGGTGATATGCTGCAGGAGTTGCAGCATGGTTGGGGTTTGTAGGGTGATGGAGGCTGCTGGAATTGCAGCAGTAGGGTGAGGTTTAGGGTGGCTGTAGGTTGAAGCTGCAAGTGGAGATTGTGGGCTGTAAGGGGGGGGGGGGGGGGCTGGAATTGTTGACTTGGGGGCGAGGCTGTGGAGTCATGGGAAACTACGGCTTACTACAGTGGAGGCTGGCAGTAGGAAGGTGAAGTTTGGACTGCAAATTGCTGCAGTGGAGGCTGGCAGTAGGGTGGCTGCAGTATAGGGGCTGCTGGAGATTGACTTGGGGAGAGTTGATTGTGGGCTACTGAGGAGATGAATGCAGTAGGGGGAGGCTGCAAGTGGTTGCAATGCAAGTGGAGGAGGATTTTGCAGCTGGGGATTGTCCAGGAGGTGATTCAGGTGCTGCAAAAAGGGACTTGGCAAGTTGCTGGTTGCAAGGGAAATGGCGAGAAACTGCAGAAGAAATCTGTACAGGTCTCTCCATGTCTGTTTCCTTTTTTTTTTTATATATATAGAAAATTGCAAATAATAAATAATTTTTTTTCTGTCTAATTTCCTTAATTAATTATTTTTAAAAAATTTTTGTTTTTGATTTTAATTAAGCAAACATGAACTAAAATAATAATTAAAAAAAAAAAAAAAAGCAAATAAAACCATGCGGGTTGGTTCAAACTGGATTCTTTGAAATCTGCCTAGCCAGTTAAGTAAAAGGAACACCCCGTTCCATACGTTACAAGAAAAAAAAATACATAGCAAAATAATAGACTAATGAATTCAATTTTCTTGACTTTAAATTATAGACTTATGGTTGCTATTGTGGCTGTGGTTGAGCTTGGAGACTTTACTTCCCAAGTCTATGAGGAAAATAACCAATCTAGAAGAACAGCCCATTCCACGAGCAGGGAAAAGGAAACAGATTCCAAGTTTTGAATAATACTTCCTATACTAATTTGAAGTTTTGCACCTAATAAAAATTGCTTATTGAAATTCCAAGTTTATATTTTGGGAAAAGTTTCAATGAAGTCAAATTCATCTAGAAAATAATAATATTACCTTAATAAGTGGTAACAAAGTGAGAAAGTTAGAGTTCTTAATGGCTGATGCTGTGGCTCAAGGTGCTGACTGCATTATTACAATTAGTGGTATCCAAAGTAATGATTGCCGTGCCACTGCTGTTGCTGCTAATTACCTTAATCTTGATTGCTACCTTATACTTCGTACTTCAAAGGTTGGATCTTTGGTTTATTTCTATATTCTGTTATGTGTTGTTTTTATGTTTTTGTCAATTAGATGAATGGTTTTGATGTATTTTTTAGGTTCTTGTGGACAAAGATCCTAGATTGACTGGAAATCTATTGGTGGAGAGATTAGTTGGAGCTAATGTTCAACTTATTTCAAGAGAAATATGAACTAATTGGAAGTGTGGTTTGTTTTCATAACCCAACAAGTCTTAATACATGTGTATTGGTGAAAGTAGTAAAAAGCAAGTCCAAGAATAGGTCTGAGGAGGCTGAAAGAGAGCAACGTGAAAAAAAAAAAAAAAAAAAAAAAGTTGCAAAAAATTACAAAAGTGTTGTATTGTGAATAGTGAATCTAGGCAAATGAACAGTAAATAAACAACGTTTTTACTATTTATTTGCTCTAGATCTTTTAGTTCTTTAGTAATAACTAACGTATATCCCGCGCGTTATCCCGGGATAAGCTATGCAACATTCTTATATGTTCATTTTGATAAAATACAAAATTCTAAAATAATTATATAAAAGGATCGCATCAAAAAAATAAAAAAAAATCAAAACATATATCTCATATTTTGTTGTAGGGTTAGCTAAACAAAAAGTCCGCAAAGTTGAGTAATATAAAATAGCCAATTAGATATTGTGTTTATATAAATATGTATTTTATTAAAAATATGTATAATAACTGGTAACTAAAATAATGATGTGGTATTTTTTGAATTTTAGATGATTAATTTTTACTATATATTCTTCATCTATAATTTGTTAATGAGATAAAAAGACTACCCAAAACAAAAAGACAAAAAAACTTATGCAAATCGAGAATTTGGCAAAAAAATAGAGATAAAATTACACACGATAAAAATTAAATGATCAAAACAAAGTAAAGATTATAAAGGAAAGATCAAAATAAATAAAAAATTTCACTAAAAGCACAAAAAAAAAAAACTTGTAAACAATAAGATTAAAAAAAATTCATTATGCATAAGGTAGGAATAAAAATAAAACATGATAAAATTTTAATGACCAAAATAAAAAAAAAATCATAAAATAAGAGCCAAAACAAAAAAAAATGTTTTTTACTAAAAGCCAAAAAAAAAAAACCCTAGAATAGTGAAACTATATTTAATTTTAGTGTAAAAAGAATAATAATTAAATATAATAAAACTTCAATGATCAAAATAAAAGAAAGATCACAAAATAGAAACCAAAATATAACAAATTTTTTTACTAAAAGTAAAAAATAGTTCCTTGTGGGAAAAAAATCAAATATAATAAAAACTTAATTATAAAAAAAAATTACAAAACAGGGACTAAAATAAAAATAAAATTCTATATGATAACAAGAATTATAACAAAAGGAAAAGTGTCACTAAAAGGAAAAAAAAGCTGACAATAATGAAACTTTATTTAGTTTTTGTGTAATACGGATAAAAATTAAACATGATAAAACTTTAATAACTAAAATAAACATATCACAAAATACAAACCGCAAAAGATCATAATTTTTTACTAAAAAAAATAAAATATTTATTATAAAAATAAAAATTAAATATAATAAAATTTGAATGATCAAAATAAAAACGATTATAAAATAGAGACTAAAACAAAGGTTATTGCAAGCCAAAGAAGGCTAGCAAGCGAGGGAAAAAGAAAGGCCTTAGATGTGGCATGCGAAAAAAAAAACTGTTAACAGTTGAAAATGCTATAGTTTTTTTGCATTTTCTTTTAGTTTATTTTGTAATATTACCCCATAATTAGTTTTAAATAAAGTTAATACTGTCAGATTTAAAATATTTACCTTTTAAATATTTTTAAAATTTTGGATTAGGATCAATTGTAGCGAGAATATTTGAAAAAGAAAAAATTATTTGGATCTTTAAGGTTATATTCACTGGTTCAAGAGATTTGCCTCTTGGATATTTTTTTTATGTGGTCCTAATTGGAGGAAGTTTTTCCTCCCATTTATTTATTGTCATGACGTGACGTTAACGTGCTTAGGTGTTAGTGTCTATGTCATTACTTGATAACGAAATAAATGGGCACATCATCATTTGACTAACAAAAATCTACTTAGACATTTTATAGTCCAAAATAAAAGAATTGTACAAACTAAAAGAATTGAACATCTGTTTGAACAAAATTAAAAATTAGACACTCTATTAATAAAATCAAATAAGTTCAGACACTCAAATTAATGATTAGTTGTAGTCCAACAGTAGTAATTATCAAAGGTTATTGGCATATCTGATTTGTCATATTTTATGTACGAGAAATACTAACAATACTCTTGAGATAGTTAAAAAAAAGTTTAATGTGGACGCTTTTATTAAACACATGTTTTAAAAAAAATTAGCATTAAAATTATTAGAAAAACCATTTAGTTGAATTCAATTATCCAGCAAATTATTAAAAAAAAATGAGAATTTTATTATTTTAAATAATATAAAATTGATTATAATTTAAAATTTTTCTAAAAACATGAAAAATGAATTATCTTTTATTTGTTATTCTTTTACTTGGATGTTAAAAATAGTTAAGAAAGTTTAACGTAAACACTTTAATTAAGTAAATATTTAAGAGAGAGTGTTAAAGAAAGTATTGCTAGCATTTATCTTTATCCATTGACATTAATAATTATTTTGCATATCCTGATTTAAGTTATTGACTCTTTTTTTTAAAAAAAATTACCTAAAAATGGATTTTGTCTGTGCTTCAAGTTCAAGTGAAGAAAAAAAGAAGAAGAAAAAATCAATTTCTTCTTATATATATATATATATTGAATGACTAATCACTTGGCAAATAAGCTCGAATGCTTTTCTTCTTAAAGGCAATTGCCATGAGGTTTTTTAGCCGACAAAAAAATAAAAAATAAAATAATAATACAGTACTATTTATTATACCTATTTCTTATAGCATCCAAACTCTACTTGATAATAATTAATCAAATACTAAAAACATTATGAACTAAGTTATGGAGAGGTTTGAAATAAGAAGAAATTGTTAATAATTAATCAAATACATTGGCTCAAACATGAATTGTTTGGAATGTGACTAGCAAAGATAGAGCAACACCCCATTCCACGAGCAATTAAGGAGAAAGAAAGCATATTAGCTAGTCCACCTCTATTAGTTGGGCCAATAAGTCTTCCAAAGAAACAGAGAGTGCGCGAAAAAGTCTTGGTCTTCTCAAACAATTTCAGGTTTGTAATGCAGCCAAGTCTCCCTTAGATGATTCAGCAAAGAGATTTCAATGATTCAGACAGAATTCACTGCCCGATTAAATGCATGATCTGAGAACCAAGTTGTAGTATACATAGGTAGTAAGGTGGCTGTCAAAATGAATTGCAGTATAATTGGTTAAGTAAGAGTATTATTAAGATGAGGCAGATATTGTGGGTGTGGATGCTGGTCATGATGACCTTGGTTTCGGTAAATATTGAGCGGTATCATTGTTGTTTGGAGGAAGAGAGGACTGGTCTCATGGAGCTCAAAGCTTGGATCAATCACCCCGATGGCATTTCCTTGCCAGACTGGGTGGAAAATACAGAGGACACTGATTGCTGCAAGTGGTATGGAGTTAAGTGCGACAACACTACAAACCGAGTGACCGAACTCGATCTTTCTTTTGAAAGAGATGATTGGAGGTTAGGGGATTTATATCTCAATGCTTCTTTGTTTCTGCCTTTCAAAGAATTGAAGAGTCTGGGATTAGCCTCGAACAAATTAGTTGGCTGCTTTGAGAATCAAGGTTTTTTTCCTTCTATTCTTTCAGTAAAAACATAAATTTATATCTCGTATAACTTTACAATGAATTTATACTAATGGAATGGGTGATATATATATATTGCTTCTCATAACTTTATTTCAGGTTTTGAAGTTCTAGCATCAGGATTGAGGAAACTGGAGAAACTTGACCTATCATATAATATGTTGACTACAAATCGGCTGGTATCAATGGTAAATCATTTAGTTAAGCATACATCATTCATCAAGGCGCTTTAACTTCTTCTGTTCTTTTAATCAAAACATATATAAATTATGTGCATATATATTGATAATTGAAGATTCAATCAACAATAAAATATTATCAACTCAGTCCACTGAAGCATCGAAATCCTACGAAACATGTTGATCATTGAAATCTTTTAATTAATTATTGATTGTATTCTCTCGTTTTCCTTGCACATGACACAGGTTTGAGGAAGTTGGAGGAACTTCATGTACGTGCCAACAGATTTAATGACAGTGTTTTAGCATCTTTGAGTGGGCTTTCGTCTCTAAAAATTCTAGACCTATCAGATAATATGAACTTGATAGGATCAACTGGTATCAATGGTAAATCATCCTAACCTCAAACCATTGTTTTAGACTTATTTAATAAATAGATTATGTATATTGATTATTTTATTTTCTTATTAAATTATGGGATGTTTGACCGAATATTGTAGATGAAGTGGTAAACAGATTATCTCTAACTCACCAAGTTAGGGGTTCGATTCTTATTATTGGAAAGCTCCTCCTCTCCTTTGGGTGACACTAAACACGAGCTGTTTGTAGACTGAAAGAGTCTGGTCCTTAGAATCTATCAAAGAGTAGGCGTGATCTAGCATTGATTTAGCCCAAGAAATGATAGATTTAATCTCAGTTGAAGCAAAAACTGATGATTGGATAATATTCCACTATCCATACATATTAAAAAATAAAAATGAAATAAAATAAATATGGGATGTTAGTGGTGTTTGCTTATTAATTAGGAAAAATAACCTTCCCAGCAACTCCAACAGACATTGATCGAATATATTTTTGATTGTGCTCTCTATCTCCACATATCACAGGTTTGAGGAACTTAAAAATCTTGTATCTCAATGGAATTGACATCAAGGGAAGCGTTTTGATTGAGTCTTTGGCAGCAATTCCATCCCTTAAGACCTTTTCTGCTATCCATAGTAATTTAAACAGAGCACTGGTCGATAAAGGTTAGTAATAGGTTTGGTGTCTAAAACATGAAGTTTCGGAGTAATTAACAATTTCGTTATTTGATTTATCTTATCTTTTTTCCTACAGGGTTCTATAATTTGACCAACCTTGAAGAATTGTTGTTAGATCATTCTTCTCTCCCAACGAACTTTCTTCTGAACATTGGAGCATTCTCTGCTGTTAAAATTTTATCTTTGAGGAAATGTGACCTCAATGGCCCCCTACCTACTCAAGGTAATATTGGCTCTGGTTCTCTTACCAATCTCACATTCTTAGATACTTTGACCTTTCAATTAACCACTTTCAAATGGCCTCAAGCTCCTTTCAATTACTTATCTCACATAATTTTGACAAAATTTAGATTTTGTTTTGCGGAAGAAAAATTCGAATTATAAGAAAAGGAAAACGGATTAATTAAGAGGATTGCCGAAACCCTCTAAATTTTCCCCACCTTCCTTTTATAATTTTGTTATACTTACGGACCAATCAAAATATAAATTTAAAGCAGAAATAATTTTAATTTTCCAATAACCAATCAAGCAAATTTCCCTTTGTGTTTCATGTAACTTTATTGTCTGATTGTAGGACTGCAAAACATGACCAAACTTGAAGAGCTGTTACTGGATTCTAATTCTCTCCCCCACAAGTTTTCTTGGAAGCATCGGAGCACTGTCTGCTCTTAGAATTTTGTCCATGCAAGAATGTGAGCTTAATGGCATCTTGCCTAACCAAGGTAAATTTCATCACTATTGAAAATTCATTATGGAATAGGTCACTGATCAAGATATAGTACATCGTTGCTTTATTACTATTAATTCCCTTACTGGAATATATTGAAATATTGTTCAGGCATATGTGAATTGAAGAATCTTGAACAACTTTATCTCTCTCGAAACAAACTACAAGGTTTACTCCCTGCTTGTTTGGGAAACCTATCATTTCTACAATTCTTGGATGTATCCGACAACCAATTTGTGGGAAATATTGCCTTTAGTCCTCTTTCCCATCTTACGCAGCTTGAATTCCTCGCACTTTCAAATAACAACTTTCAAGTTCCAGTATCATTGGGTTCATTTATGAACCACTCACACCTTAGGCTCATTGCTTGCGACAACAACGAGCTAATAGCTGCATCCAGTTTTCAGCCTTTAGCTCCAAAGTTGCAACTTCGGTTTTTTAGTGCTTCAAACTGTTCTTCAGAACCACTCAAGGTTGAATTTCCTACTTTCCTTTATAGGCAATATGATTTGAGGGCTCTTGATCTATCCCACAACAATTTCTTTAGAGGATTTTTCCCATCTTGGCTGGTAGAGAACAACACGAGGTTACACCGACTACATTTGAGAAACACCTCACTTATAGGTCCTTTGCAATTGCTGCCACATCCAGCACCGAACCTTTGGACATTAGATATCTCCGATAACAGCATACAAGATCAAATTGCTAGAAACACATGTTTGATCTATCCAAATATGAAGAACTTGGTGATGGCTGACAACAATTTCACAGGTTATATTCCTTCTTGCTTTGAGAATATGAGCTCTCTTGCGTGTTTAGATCTGTCCAACAATCATTTATCTTGTGAAAAGCTTGAGCGCTTGCCGACATTTGACTCCTCATTATGGTTTTTGAAGTTATCCGGTAACTCTTTGAAAGGGCGAATACCACCTTCAGTGTTCAACATGACTAATCTGCGTTACCTCTATCTAGATGGAAACAACTTTGGAGGACAAATATATGATGATTTTTCCTTCGGATTGTCACTTGTGGTGTTGGATATCAGTAACAATCTTTTGTCAGGCATGCTTCCAAGGGGGATAGGGAACTTATCATACTTGCAGGCAATTGATTTGTCCAAAAATTACTTTGAAGGCACTATTCCAGTAGAATTTTTCAAATCTGAGGTGCTTGAATTTATGGATCTTTGTGAAAACAATTTGTCTGGGTCCTTGCCGTTTGACTTCAATGCTCCACGTTTACTCCATTTTCACCTATACGGAAATCAGTTGAGTGGTCCATTGGCATATGGATTTCATAATAGCTCGTCTTTGTTGACATTAGATCTCCGAGAGAACAACTTAGCTGGTTGCATTCCAAATTGGATTGGTAGCCTTTCGAAATTGAGCATTCTTCTTCTCAGAGCCAATCATTTCGACGGTGAACTTCCTGTTCAGTTATGTTGGTTGAAGAAATTAAACATATTGGATCTTTCCCAAAATAACTTTTCTGGTCTGATACCCTCATGTTTGGGCAATTTAAATTTTAAGGAATCTGAGGATAAACATTTTGTCATCTCTAGTTATGTGAATTTCCCAGATGATATCTTCGAAATAATGGGTCCCACAGGAGGAGGATATTTGAAGCACATAGGTGATGATCTCATTAGCCCAACTTTGACGCCACTGGTCAGTTTTGAAACAGTTATAGAGTTTACGACAAAGAAAAACTACTACACTTACAAGGGAAACATCCTTTGTTACATGTGTGGTATGGATCTTTCTGGTAACAGATTTACAGGAGAGGTCCCAACAGAATTGGGAAACTTAATTGGGATATATGCTTTAAATCTATCACACAATAATCTCACTGGATCTATCCCTCCATCCTTCTCCAACCTGGAGCAGATAGAAAGCTTGGATCTTTCCTACAACAATCTGGCCGGCGTCATCCCTATGCAGTTTCCCGAATTGACCACTCTAGAAGTTTTCAATGTATCATACAATAATTTGTCTGGCAAAACACCCGAGTTCAAAAATCAATTTGGGACCTTTGATGAGAGTAGTTATAAAGGGAATCCTCTTCTTTGTGGACCTCCATTGAAGACTAGTTGTAGCAAAACAGAATCACCATCAAATACAGTGCCTAATGATTCAAATGAAGATGATGGCTTCGTAGACATGGACATTTTCTATGTGAGCTTTGGTGTGTGTTACATAATTGTTGTGTTGACAATTGCAGCAGCACTTTGCATAAATTCAAATTGGCGACGCAGATGGTTTTACTTTATCGAAAGGTGCATTGACAATTGCTTCCGTTTTTAGGCTACTGGTTTTCACAAGTTGTCCAACTTCAAAAAGGTGATCATTGAAGGATGTCAAACTCCCCCCCCCCCCCCCCCCCCGGTTTTTTTTGTTGCCTTTCTTTGTTTTATTTTGTTTCTTTGTTGTAACTTCTTCCATCATGATCAAATATGCTCATATTATAGTTTCGTTTAGATGTCAAAATGTACATATACAAAGTGCAGCATTGTAACTTCTTCCATCATGATCAACTAAGGTTAACTATGTTTTCCATTTGTCCTGATGATTGAAAACTGCTTGACTAAAATTACAAGGTACAGGACCTCGATTGAAGAAAATAAAAGTTCAGGGATTACAACGATATCCACTGAGGATACAATTTAAAAAAAATTGGATTCCCAGCGACCAAAAATGGCAGGATCAATTCGGTCCCATCCTCCAAGACAAGCGCGCGCGCGCACACACACTTTTGGATCACTTCTTGGACAAATCCCAAACCACCCGCATCAAAGTATGTCAACCTTACATCCATGTCCACTGCAACAGAGCTCCTGCAACCAGAGGCACAAATCTCCTCCTGCAGCCCGAAAAGCTCCCGCAACCAGAGGGACAAGCTCTTGCCACCTCTAGACAAAATCCTACAACTGTCCTTTTGTCTCCAGTAACCTGCAAATTAAAATATACCCAAAACAAACAATCATTAGGCACGCCTGAAAAACAAATTGGTTTTTAGCTCTATTTATACAGACGTCAAAAACTGTCATTAATGAATGACGGGAGGGGGATTAGTGTTCGAGTATAAATAGAGGAGGAGAATCAATTGAGAAAGAGGGAGGTTCGAGAGGAACAGGAACATTTGGAGAGGGTGAATTTGAAAACAGAGGAAGGAATCCAGAGACAATTGTAAGAGGCAATATTGGGGAATACAGAAACATGTGAGGAGAATTAGAGAAGCAATTGTTAGGAACTGCCTGGTGGTTTGTTGAGGGAAACAGAAACACAAGAGGGACAATTTGGAGAGAGGAATACAAGGGAATCAGAAGGCAATTAGAGGAGCAGAGAGTTGGGAGGAAACCCCAGAACCAGTACCAACCCCAGCAAAAAACAGTAATTAAAACCAATTCTGAGAAAGAAGCAGAATCAAACCTAGTTTTCACAAGCTGAAGCATTGACTATCCATTGCCGCCAATTCCTCCTCAGCTAATCATCTGAAATCAACTCCCTAGGAGGAAACAACGTTTGAAATCAATTCAGAAGGACTGAAAAGAAACAAACTACAACAAAGCAGAGGAGTTTGAGAACCTTACCCATTAGCTCCGATGACTTCCTAATTCTGAAAGCACCTTGGAGAAGTTGGAGCAGTGATCATCTACTGCCAATTACTCCACCTCAGTTAAGCTCCTGCCATCAACACTCCAGCACATCTTCACCAACTCAAACACCATCAACCACTGCATCTGCCCATCCGAACTCCACCAGTCAAGCATCCATGTAAGCTTCTCCCTTCAATTTACACCCTCATGCGCACCAATGTAATCCCTACCCGCTTTCAATCTCACACACCCTCACATTCTGATTGATGGACAAGGATTGATTAGGATGACTCAAGAAGGTTAGGTTTTAGGATTTTTAGGTCGATTGTGGGTCTAGTTCTAGGGTTTGGGTTTAAATCAGGACACTGATTGTGATTTAAGGTTGAATTGAGTTGGGGAAAGATTTAGGGTTTTCGAAATCTTTAAGATTTAGGGCTATTTTAGGGGAAGAGGTAGATTGAGGACTCATTTGCTAACAAGATTTGGGCTTTAACCAATTATTGTGACTGGGCAAAGACTAGATTACGATTTAGGGTTCTGGGTTGCAAGAACAAATGGGGAATCAAACATTGCTTCTTAGGGATGGGTTTCAAAAGGTTGAAACCTACTGATCCCAGGAAGAACTAAGGAAATCTGGGAAGTCGAAAGAAGGAAAAATAAAGAGAGTTAGGAGATTTTTTCTGGGTTCGTTCGAGAAGAGAGAAGAAAGAAAGGGAACGAGAGGGAGATAAGAGTTCCTGGGGAAGACGAGAGAAAGAGTGAAACGAAAGTGATGAGGTGAAGTTCCTGGATTTGAGGGAGGGAAAAACGAGAGAGAGATGAAGGTTTACTTTGTTTATGGAGAAGAAAGAATTAGAGCGAGAGAGAGAGAGATTTTTATCCAAAATGAACTGGGATCGATTTTTTATTCTGTTTCTGAAGAGAGTTAGGCCATAGCGAAAAATGAGTGGGTTGGGCTTGGCTTAGGCTGGGCTGATCTTAGCCTAGTCCAGCACAAAAAAAAAGGGAAAAAGAAAAGAAAAGAGAAGGGAAGAAGAGGAGATGCTAGGCCCCGACTATTGCGCCTAGCCCAATGGGAGAAGGGCCAATTGATCTCAAAGGGCCCAATATCCTAATTTAAAGTCCTTTTTGGTTGGATTAACCCTGAATTCCTTTTATGCAGATTTGTTTTTATTTTATGTTTAATTTAGATTTAATGTTCCAAATTTCTTTAAATTTATTTAGTTAATGTTAAATTTGGAATTTATTTCAATAATTAGGTTAAATAATTAATAGGTTGAAGAATTATCAAGTCTACTAATTTTTAAAAAGCGATGACGAGTTCTCTACAAATAAAAATATAAAAATAACAAAAATGATTAAAAAAAAAGAGAAAGGAGTATTAGGAAAATAGAAGAAAATTAAAAAGAAAAATGTTTTAAAACATTGAAACTAAAAATAGAGAAAAATAAAAATAAAAAATCCTAAAAAAAATTAACAAAGTCTCCTATCTAGATCTAACAAGCAACAACATATGTGGTGAAATTATGAGAAGTATATGTTTGACATTTCCAAATTTGAGGGATTTAAACATGGCTAAAAATGCACTCTATGGAGGTCTCCAACTTGTTTTGGAAATATGAGCACTCTAGATAGTTTAGACATATCCAACAATTTATTGTCTACGATAAAACTAGAGCAGTTGACCTCATTATCATTCCTCAAGCTATCAAATAACAACTTGGAACGGCACATTTCTCCCTCCGTTTTCAACTCATCTAGATTGAATTATCTCTACCTAAATGGCAACAATCTTAGAGATATTTCATTTATCAATGGGTTATCTTTGCGAGCATTGGATGTCAGTAACAATCATTTCTCAGGCATGCTTCCGAAATGGATAGGCAATATGTCAAATCTCAAGGCAATTGATTTATCCAAAAATCATTTCGAGGGTCTAATTCCTAGAGAGTTTTGCAACCTTTCTTCACTTAAATATTTGGACCTATCAGAGAACAGTCTGTCTGGTTCTATACCATCATGTTTCAACCTACTAGGAATAACCCATATCCATCTATCCAAAAATCAATTGAGTGGCCCATTAACCTCTTCATTTCTTAACATCTCTAACTTGGTGACATTAGACCTCTCACATAATTACTTTACTGGTCCAGTTCCAAATTCGATAGGCGATCTTTTTGGATTGAGTGTTCTCGTTTTAAAAGCTAATGCTTTTAATGGTAATTTACCTGTACAGTTATGCATGTTAGAAGAACTAAGCATCTTGGATGTTTCAAGAAATAAGCTTTTTGGTTCTTTGCCTTCTTGTTTTGGCAATTTAACATTCAAGGCAGCTAATGAAAAAAATATGTTGACTATTGGCCTATTCTATTGCGATACTTTGACCAATCGTATTTCATATCCATGGGTTTACCAAATGTAGATGTCTATGATTCTCGTGGAAGTGAGGATTCAGCCATTAGTGTCCATGAAGTTGTAGAGTTTACAACAAAGAGACATTCCTATAATTACCAGGGTAATATCCTTAATTTCATGTCTGGAATGGATCTTTCTTGTAACAGATTTAATGGATACATCCCATCAGATTTGAAAAATTATATTGGTTGCGTGCACTAAATCTATCGCATAATAATTTCACTGGATCTCTCCTAGCAACATTCTCAAATTTGAATCAAATTGAGAGCTTGGATATTTCTCATAACAGCTTGACTGGAATCATCCCTCCACAGCTTACTGTAATCACCATTTTAGCAGTTTTCAGCGTGGCATACAACAACTTGTCAGGCATGACTCCAGAGATGAAAAATCAGTTTGGAACTTTTGATGTAAGCAGCTATGAAGGAAATCCTCTATTATGTGGACCTCCATTGCAGACCAATTGCACTAGAGAAGAATCACTATCACAGTCAATGCCTAAGGATGAAGAAGAAGACTATCATTTCATAGACATGGATGTATTCTATGTGAGCTTCGTGGTATGTTACATAATTGTGGTGTTGACAATTGCGGTGGTTCTTTACATCAATCCATATTGGCGACGCAGGTGGTTTTACTTCATTGAAGAGTGCATAGATAGTTGCTGCTACTTTGTGGTGGACAGTTTTCATAAATTGTCCAATTTCAGAAGGCCTTAGCATGGTGGTGTGGGTTTGTCTCTGAATTTGCTCTGATTTTTGGGTTAGAAATTGTGGTTTACCTGCTTGGTTGCTGGCACAAACTTGGGTTTGCTCAGTACCTGTTCGATAACTTGCTTGTGAGAAGTATTACTCGCTATCCTTGATGTTGGGTGCTTTGTACGTTACAATATACTGGTCTCGTAGCTTAGACTTTCTATCGAGAGAGATGTGAGGTGTTTTGCTCAGGATCGTTAGTAGTCCATTTCATTTTCTGTTTTGCTTTAAGAATTGGCAAGTGGGCATCGAGCCTTGTGGCCTATCCAATTCTTGGCTTCTTGTAATCACTCTGTGAGTCTTGCTTAATAACAACATGAACTTTATTCAAAATAAATAAATAACTTCAGGCATTCCTTCTTCCTGTATATCTTCTTGTGTACAAATCCAATTCTTTTCCTCTGTAAGATTTTCCAGTGTAGAATTCTTAATAGAAATTCATCTTATTGAAGAAATACAAAGCAAGAAATGTTAAGATTAGTTTTCATTACATCAAAGTAGGAAAAAGGAAAAAATTCATTCCATTTCTTGGGAGATTAATTCACCTTGCTTTACTCAGTTAACCTTAATAGACATGTAAGGTGAGAGAAGAAAAAACAGAGAACATGTAGAAACAGAGGATTATGATGATCAAGATGATCACAGCCTCGTCAAAAATTAACTTTGTAAAGCCATTTTGTTCCTGATTCTCACTCTCTCAGCCTGACATTTGGAAAACGTGTCTCGGTTTTGGACTATGCTCAAATGGATTAAGTAATTAAAGTTACTTTCAGTTGCTGTCATGACTTGAGAGATTCTAAAACACTAGCAAAATCAGAGAGACTGAGAGACAAAGTCATCGCTCCGGAAGCACATCCTTTGTTTCTTAATTAATTGATTTTAAAGTATTCTAACTATCGGTAATAAGAAAATTCTTGTCTTTAATTTTTCTAATTTGAATTCCAAATCTTTTTTTTTTTTTTCACAATCAAGACCGTTTTCCTATTGATCAATCTTCGTTAAGATTTTTCATAAGTAAATTATAAATTAATCCTTCTAGTTTCAAGAAATAAATTAATTAATCTTTTTCGTTTTAAATATTATTATTTAATTTTTTAATCAATATTAATAATACTCAGTTTAATATTATTTTATTTCATAAAATCACTTATTTTTTAGTTAATTTTTTCATTTTTTTCTTTTTTATTTTTTAAAATAAAAAATCAAAATAAATTAAAAATAATTAAAAATAACTAAATTATAAGTGAATTTCAAAATATAAAAACTAAATAATTAATTTTTAAATAAAAATTAATTAATTTATTTTTCAAAATGAAAGAAGCTAGTTTATAATTTACTTGATTCTTCACACATAAAATTATGTGATTTAATAAAATAAGGACACGTGACACAGTTTTTAAAACTAAAAGTAAAATGATGAAAAAAAAAACCCTCCAAGCTCAAATTAAAAAGAAAAGAAAGTCAAAAACCACATCTGTCCTTCATCGTCCTCTTCTTCTCTTTAATCTGCATCCTAGCCTTTGATGGGTTGGTTTGCAATGATTTGGGTTTTGATTGGGTTATTGAATTGGGAATAATGCGAGAGAGAGCAGCATCGTCTATGCTGAGGAGCTTTCGGGAGCACTTGCGAGACAGAATGGAGACTCTGTCGAAGCGAGAGAGCAAGGAAGGTAGGCATGGAGACATCTCAGAACTAGAAAGCAAGACACGACGGTTTCTTGAATTTGAATCCACACAATTCCATCTCTTGCAAACCAGAGAGCAAGAGTTCATGTCAAGGCAATCAGCTTCCCAAACACACTGCCCAAGCTCTCGTTAGGCAGACTCAGGGTCAATTCTTCGTCCTTGTCAATATAAAAAAAGTGAATTCAGCTATATACAGTTTCTTTCTCTTGTTTGCCATTAATTATATCTTATCCCAATTTTAACTGTCTAAAAGTTTGAGAATTCTAACTGACATGGATAAAACTTTGAAGAAGGATGAAGTTCTGGGTTTCACCATGCCTGCACACTATGCTTCATAATCTGAACAAACTTTGATCATCTGAGAGATGTTGTACTCGAGTAAAATTTAAAACCTTTGATGTATATGTCTTGATCAAAGGGATAATGTGGAATATTGCATCATTGTAAATGATATTTTCAATTTGCCACTCAACAAGCTCTCGTAGCTCAGTTGGTTAGAGCACCCGTTTAGTAAGCGGGAGGTCTTGAGTTCGACTCTCAACGAGAGCACTTTCTTTTTTTTTCCCTTAAATTAATGTGTCCTAACATGTTCAAGTCACCCTCAACTCATCTCGTCAATTTCGAAGAGCTACAAAATGGAGTTATAAGAAGCTAGCAATATCAAATAGCTAGGCAACACCACAAACTTCTACTTAGAAGTGAAGCCATCAATTGAGAGTAACTTTTACGAAGAGGGAGATGATGGGCGAGAAAGTTATTGGTTTGCTGTTGATGGTGGCCACGGTTGCTCATTCTGCAACATTGTGCTTGGTTCTGAGCTGTTGTGGTGATTGTTATAAGGTTAGGTTAGGTTGGTTGTGTGTTTTGTATGTACTTCGTCGTTTTTCTTTCTTCCTGTTGTGGTTTGCCAAGTGTGTTTCATTTCAGAAATGTATTTGTATCACTGAAGTATGAGAAGAATTATTGCCTGTATTATGTACTCTGTTAAGCTCGGTTTTGCCAGTTCATGAATTCCTTTTCAGGCATAGGAGAGCTGCTACCGACATGAAGGAGAAGCAACAAGTATATATATATGACCATTCTCCTGGTTCAACTTGGGCTGAGAATTCCTTTGACACTACTCCTAGCTCCTCTTAAGACTACTAATTGGCATTGAAGAATGTTGTGGTGATCATAAACCCTTACTTCTTTGATTTCATCTCCAGAAAAAATCGTTTTGAGAGTGATTCAAATGTGAACTAACATTGAAGTATTGTGATTTATAAGCACTAGTAAGTGTCCTTGAAATGGTTTTTTTTTTTTTTTTACTACTTTTTTCCTCAAATTTGCTTCATCAACAGTTTCTTGTTAATGCACCCGGGTGGGGATGATAAGAAAATACTTTTAACGGCTAAAAAATAATAATAACAAGTCCTCTTCTTGACTGCATATCAGAACAATTTTCATGTCTTCCAACACTTCCCAAATAAGTACGTACTTGGTTGTTCGAGCACTCTCTGTGCACGACAAAAGGAAAACAGAAGAGCAAAAATACTTCCAATACCACCAGCTACAACTTTATTTTTTACTAAGGAATGTTACACAAATTGTTTGTTAAAACCCTAACTCTTTGTTTGTTTTTCATTTTCGTCTCAGCCAGAGTATGAGAAATCAACATGGGATGAAAGAAAAATAAATAACTTGGAGATTTTATTAAAATGAGTAAAAAATATACAATAAATTGTTAATACAGGAGCATAATGCAGCTCCAAACTAATTCTATTTCTTCTTCTTTACAGATGTCAAATCTGAAGGTGTAAAATGTTTTGCTATCAGGCCAGAAAGTGGGAGTTTCAAGTCGAAAGTCAGCCTCTGAAGAACTAATGATAATGCGGTCACGTCTGCCATGGCTCTGTGTGCTTTTCCAACAAATTGAATATTATACCTCTTGCAAAGAGCATCTAGTGATGTCCCTGAAGTAAGCTTCAATCCTGTTAACAAAGTCAAAACAAAGCTTTCATTAACTCCTCAAATGCATTCAGAAAATGAGTGCACAGACATATGCTGAGTAGAAAGAGGGAGAGAGGGACCTTCCAACTTCAGCAATTCACGTGCCAGAGGAAGCGTGTCCACAAAAAGCCAATTGGGAGGAATTTCAAAATGGCAGCGACTGAATTCATTAACCAAAAATGGTACATCAAAAGTACGAGCATTGTGAGCTACAAATATTACATAGCCGCCTGGTTTCTGGCGGCTCTTCACATACTGCAGTAATATAGGAATCAACTCTTCCATTCTGCAACAAGTTCATATACAATATTTATGCACATGTACAATTAACCCATTCATTGATGAGCATGTGCATCACCTAAACAACAGTTAATGGAACTAGATAACAATGAATTTGATCGTGCTCATCTTTCAATGCCAATAACCAAGCATTTCCAATCACCAACATGAAAGATGAAATGAAGAATCATGCATGTTCTGCAAGAAATTAAGAACTCAAACTACCTTCTCTGGCACGCATGACAAAGAAAAGGAAACTAATGTGGAGATTCTCAGAAATAAAGCCTGCACGACTGAAGTCGGTTCAACCAGAAATCACTGAGCACTGCCAGTGGTTTATTCCCTTTCTGTTCACACATCAAGTACGTACATTTACTTGACATTACTGAAATCTCAACACTATTTTCTAAATGGAATTCTTTTCAATAAAGGAACAACTCAATAAATCAATTAATCAAGGAAGAATGAAACAATGGAAAATCAATGAAGCAGACTAGGTCTTTGCAACCTAATAATAAAATAGTCTTTCGTTTATGAACTTATATCTTAATCATGGATATTACTGAGAGAAAGTTATTAGCAGCTAACAGTAGTACCTTGGGACATCAGATCTGCAGACCATATGTGTTGTAATGTTATGGATATGTGAATTAGCAACATGGCGTCCGGGATTCACTAGAGTTTGGAAAGTGCTGTTTTCACCTCCCTGAAGATCCTGAAATGCAATCTCAATAATGCGTTCATTCTCTCTGCTGAACCCAGTAGTCTCAATATCAAAGACAATAAATGTCAAAAACTTGGTGATGTCTTTGTTCTGAGCAATCATTTGTTGAATATCACAGTATGGAATTCTATGAAACTCGCTTACTTCTGTTTTGTTTATACTCAACGTAGACCTAGTTGAAACTGTTTCGTCCAAAATTTCATGTCCAATGGTGGTTGATTTGCTTTCTTGATTTGTTCTGCTACTTCCTCCTGTTTTGGTACTTGCAGGTCTTTTGATCCATCTTTTACTGTATCCTCCTTCCAGACAATTGGCTTTGGAACCCAGCAATCGAAAGCGGAAAATCTTGTCGCATGTCCTATTTAAACTGTGAGAGCTTCCCCAGCAAAAATTAGCTAAGGTGTGGATTCTGCATCTGGGAACTTGCAAGATTGAAAAGCACATCGGAACTGTCCTTGTGTAACTCATGAACTAACTGAGAAAGATTTTAAAGATATATTTTGCATCACAAGTTTAATCTGCTTATACCTGAGAAATGAAGAGTATATTAAATGAATTAGAGAACTGACAAAACATTATCACTCCTGAACTTAAATCTCTATGATATTTGCATTAGAGCATGACAGTATTCACAGCTGAGTAAAAATGTGCAACCAGACAGCATTGTCTCTTAGCACGCCTAAACAATTGATCTCAGATTAACGGGTTTATCCATAAAATACTCTTTCCCAGCAAATAATCAGAATTTGTACCATTTTGTCAACAATGCTATTGAACCTCAAAGAACACATCACCATATTAAGATCCCAAATAAACCCTAAAAATAATGCCAGTGAGCAATTCAGAACTTCAAATGCAGACTTGTTACAACTACGTAAACACCAAAAGAAAGTCTGTTGAAGCAAAACTATCCAAAAAGGAAACATTTATAAATATGATTATATTTACAGTTCACCAAATGTAAGAAATGTAATATTACTTGATCTGTCCAGGATCCTTCATTGGTTCAGAGGTATATTGTTAAAAAACGAAAAATTTTTTGATGACCTAGTGAAATGAAATCAAAAGATTGTTTTCTAAACTAGGCACTCTGTGGCATTTGAGACCCCAAAACGAAAGCTTTAATTTCAAAAATTACTGAGCTTTTCAAGCACACTCAACAAAGAAACATATGAAAAAGCCAGAATCATTAATGAGATCTCAGTTCCCAAGTAAAAATTAGATCAAGTTCAACAACCAAATTTCCCAAAACAAAACGAACTACCAATCAAGGAATGAACTTTAATGGTCCCCAATTCAAAATCATCTTCCATATTTCACAAGCAAAACACTCCATATCAAACAAATCCCTCTTAAAATTACGTTCTCAAACCATATGATCCCAACAACATAAACTGTCCTAAAACACTACCCCAGATAGAATTTTCTATCTCACATAATTGAATATGCACATCAAAGCAATTTCTTTAACATAAAAATGGAAGCTTTCTGGTTTCTTCTTCAGTAAAGCTTGCAACATATCAAACAAACCCTTACAAAAAAATGCATTCCAAACCATAATCATCAAAACCAAATATAATCCACCTATTCTTTTAATTGGTAATCATCCTAGATAGCTGAATTGACACATAAAGATAACAACTTCAACATAAAAATAGAATCTTTTTTCTAGTTTTTCTTCTTCAATTTACACAATCTACAAAGTACAGACCACTTAAAAATAGAAGTCAGTAAAGCATGTAAATTCAGCTCTCATACTTCAATGTAAGAACAATTAAAGATGACAAAACCAAGAAATAAAAGCTTAAGAAACTTAAATTTTAAACCATTTAAGACCATATTAACTCAAAAAAAAAAAAAAGACCCTTTAGAGAGATAGAGAGAAGGCATGCCTGAGAGAAACTTGGAATGGGCTCAAAGTGCATTCTTCGATGAAATTGAATGTTGAAACATTATGGAAAGAGAGGGAGAGGGGAGGCTAAGTTGTGCGGATGAAGAGAGGAGGATCGTGGAGTGTAAACTGTAAAGTTAGGAGGTGAGGATTTGGTGATGGCTAAAGAAAACTGTGAAGGTTGAGACCCATTACTCGCGGATCCTGATCCGTGTGTTTCGGGTCCACTACTTATTTATCTCACAATTTGAAAAATTTTATCCAAGAAAGGCCTTTTCTTTTTCTTTTTTCTTTTTTTCTATTTATTTAAATGGTCAATTTTCATTAGTCTGAGTTTAATTCCTTTCTCAAATTGATCTTAGGCAGATGAAGATCCATGACCACGTGGTTTAGTGCTTAACTTGAGAGACCAGTTCACGTAATCGGGAAAATTCTTGTGGCGTTTGAGTACAGACGCAGCCAATGCTATCCATTTCTTGGACCAAAAAGAAAGCCTAATCATGCACTCTACTCTATCCCACATTTCTGTTCCACTGATTTGGTTATTTTAGAGTTAAAGGCTTCTGTGCGTAATTTTATTCTTGATTTGGTACTAATTTTTTTCTTTATTTATTTTATTTGTCTTAAAGTTTTCTTTTTTATTTTCAAATTTTTTTTAATTGAATCTTTATGATCGAAAGCCATTATTGTCAGTCAATTTTTTTATTATTATTTATTGAGAAATTTGCGATTCTTGCGTTACATAATGATAAATAACTTTTCATAATCACACAATAATTAAATAAATTAAAATTACTAGTTATCGTACATATTTTATCGAAAAAAACAATCCAATACACAATTGTTAGGTTATGTTTGCTTGTATCTGCCAATAACCTAACTAAAATGTTAACAACTCTCTAAATCTATTTTTATTTAATTTTTCTTTTTCTTTTTCTTTTTCTTTTTTTATCTTTTTCCTCCTCTCTCTATCATGGGGAACTTTTTCCTTCTTTTTCAAACGGTGTCGTTTACTCCTCTTATAATTTGTAGCTTCTCATACTACATCGCAAATCACCTGTCTTTTTGCACTATAATTTTTGAATTATTGAGACAATTCTCTCTCTTTCTCCCTGTCTCTAACTAAAAAACAACCTTTTTCTGGCCCACATTCTCCATAAAGTTTCGAGCTTTCATGTTTCAAGCCATGTTAACTTATTGTGGTTCTTTACTTACAATTTTTCAAGTCGTGCACACAAACTGTTCGATAAAATCACCGAGCGAAACCATCTCCAGGGAAAAAAAACACTATATTTTCTTAATACTGCACTGCCGCACTCAAAAAAATTGTCCTTATTATGAACACCCAATTGATTCTGACGACAATTTATTATCATTAAGATGTAAATTTTCCAATTTGGCAAAGGACAAAAAAAAGCCCTGACAGGCAATTATGTTGTTCAAAACAATGTTTTTGAAGGAGCAGGGGACAAATTTTTAGTGAATTTAGTTAGGATTATTGGTGCTTTAGGTTTATTTAATTGTCAAAACAAAATAGGGGGGATCTCATGGTCTTGTGATTAAATGCGGTTTCGAGCTTCACGTTCAGGCCTTGACTCTTTTACTTGGGTTTTATTTACTTGTTGATATTAAGGTTGTTTTTAAATCATGTGATCAACTAGAACATGAAGATGATGTTGTGTTGCGAGAGCGCGATGGCTTCGAGTTTTTTTTTTTTTTTTTTCCCAAGAATGGGAAGTTTAGGGAAGGTATTGATTGGTTTAGGAGAAATGCTGAGTTATAATGTGGAGGCTGAGATGTATATACCAGTCGCCATCCATGGCAGAGAGGTGAGGAAGAAGGAGAAGAAAAATAAATAAATAAAAATAAAATTAAGCATCTGTCAATATTTTAGATAGGTTACCAACTGATTGATTGGCGACTATAATTTTTTATCAGATAAAGATTCAATCAAGAGGAACTTTAATATATATATATATATATATATATATATATATTAAGAAAAAACAAAATAAAGTAGAAAAATAGTGCAGAATAAAAAATAGAAGAACACATCGAAACTTTCTAACCTTTATTTTAAGGAAATTTTTCTATTTATACAAGCCATAAGTTTAATGATTTTTTTTTTTTTTTTTTTTTATGAAATCATATATGAGATTCGATTAGAATCTAAATTGGATGTGCCTTAAAATTTACTAGGCCATGTTCAAGCTCATCCTTCCATAACTATGAAATAAATATTTTTTTTCTTTTTTTAAAGATTATCAACTAATTCACCTATTCCATTTTAACTAAGTCTATTTGAATTTTATTTTACTCACATCTAAAAACACTCGAAAAGTACGACCATAGTTCGTTGCTATAGAAAAAAAAATCGCTTTTCACACAAATAAAACTTCAAAAGATACCTGAATAAATTATAAATGAGTCCCTTTAATATTGAGAATGAATTATTTTTTTTAAACTAATTATTTATTTGTTTTTTTATATCTATTTATAACTTAATTTATTTATTTTTTAATTTATTTTGATTTTTATTTTTAAAAAATAAAAAATATGAAAAGATTGATAAAAAAACATTTCATGAAATAAAAATAATAATAAATTAAGTATCATCAATATTGATTAAAAAAGAAAATAATATCTTTTGAAGGAAAAAAAAGACTGATTAATTTGTTTATTAAAACGAGACGGAGTAGTTTATAACTTACTCAAAGATACCTAGGCCATGTTCATAGGTATGAAATGATAATGAAATGTCATGGTGGCTCAAGAATATGGTGAATTGTTATGCACCTCCATCCCAACATTAGCCAATTTACAACAACAGCACTCCTAAGAGTGGCAATAGCAATTTAGGTAGAAAGTTCAATAAAACAGTTATTTTATGAGAAGTGTCAACTTTACATAGTACTTTGTTTGTGATAATGCTAGCTGCCAAAACGGTTACAGTCTCATCACTCATGTGGGGTCTCATATGTTGCCAAGAACACATTGGTTTTTGTGTGGGATATTTATTCGATCCCTTTCAGTTTTTTGTAAGCTAATCAAACAAAACGATGAGATTAAAGAATCGTTAGTAAATCAGTGAGGCCATTTTTCTTCTAGAGATTTGTTCAAAGAATAAGATTCACAATTAGTTTTTTCCTAGACAAAAAGCTATCTAAGTTAATTCACTTAAAACATGTGGATTTGATGACTCAATCTTGAAGTGTCTGAATATTATATATTTAGATATTTTTAATTTATATATAGTAAAGAAGAAAACTTATTATAAATAAAAGATATTAAAAAAAATTAACTATAATAACAACTAACAAAATTTTGATTAGTTTTTCTTAGACAAAAAAATTATGTTGGTTAATTCACTTGAAACATGTGAATTTAGTGACTTCTAACTCGTCGTGTCTAAACATTATGTCTATATATTTTTAATTTATATACAATACATAAGATTAGAAACTTTGATCATAAATAAAAGATATTTAAAAAAAACAATTTAACTATAATAACAACTAACAAAATTTTGATTAGTTTTTCCTAGATAAAAAAAACTATCTTAGTTAATTCACTTAAAACATGTAAATTTGATGACTCCTACCTCAATATGTCTAAACATTATATGTCTGGATATTTTTAATTTATATATAATATATAAGATTAGAAAATTTGATTATAAATAAAAGATATTTAAAAAAACCATTTAACTATAACAACAACCGACAAAAATTTGATTAGTTTTTCCTAAATAAAAAAATTATCTTAGTTAATTCACTTGAAACATGTGAATTTGGCCACTCCTGATTCGACGTGTCTAAATAATATATGCCTGGATATTTTTAATTTACATATGGTATATAAGATTAGAAATTTTTATTATAAATAAAATATATTTAAAAAAATTAAATATAATAACAACTAACAAAATTTTGATTTTATCCTTATTTTAATCTAGAATGAAACAGTTTTGGACCATCTTGTTTACTCTTATCTTATAGTATAAATCTGGGGCCCATAAACTTGGGTCAGGCTAGTGGGCTTTAGTTATATGTTGGGTTCAAGCTTGACTCAAGCGAGATGCAGAATGTTCTGGCTGGAAATGAACTGTTATTGGGTGGGCTTTAAAAATGTAATCATGGATTAGCTCAGCTCAAACTAAGCTCAACTTGAAGGGAACTGTTTTTGTGTGAGCTTGAAAGGCTTCGAAGTAACAACTCATTTTGCAGGCTTATGGCCTACTGAAATTCGATCAGCATTTGCAAAATTTGTTCAACGAAGGGTTGTTTTCATTTTAGGTTATTTAAAAAAAAAAACTCCCACTCAAAATCTCTTAAAATAATAATAATAATATCAGTTAATTTACAATCCATTAGCATTAGCAGTCAAGAATTGTTACATACTTATGTTTTGAAAATCTACACAATACTAATATCCATACTATATATTGGATTTGAATACAATATCAAATGTTCTAGATAGCATTAGTTTTCTTACCCGTATTATACTGTAGGTCGAACAAAATATATAAAATTATTTTATTTTGATATCCCGTGTTATATTGTGTATCTATCAAAATATATCAAATCAAAACTGAATAAAAATTCATTCAATTTTATCATTTTTTAAATCAAAATTTTGTATTTGACTAATTATTTTCATAAATTTTTTATTAAAAAAATATTATTTATTTATTTCTATCCACATTTTTAGTTAAAAACTTATTTTGTAAATTGTTTTTTTCTAAACATCTTTTTGCCTTAAAATTTTTAATTAAAAAAACAAAGAAAACAATGTAAGGACCAAAGTGATCAAAATGAAATAAAAAAAATTAGACTAAAATCAAATACAAAAATATTTATAAATTAAAAAAATAATGTTTAAAAAAGAAGAATCAAAATGTAATATCACGAAAGCTTTCATAATAAATATTTTAAAAAATTTAAAAATTATAAAAATATCACTATATAATGAAAGAAATAATACATTTGAGTCTGAATAAATATTATTGAAATAATACAATGAATAGTAAATTTATTTTTTTGTTTAGTGGTATACTAGATTTTTTACCCGCACTATGTCTGCGGATTGGATAAAATATATAAAATCATATATAAAAATTATTTCAGTTTAATAATTTGTTTTATGATAAAAAATAATTATACTTTTTAAATGAAAAAAAAATATTTTTAATTATTTTTATTTTTGTTTTTTAATTTTAGAAATAAATAATAAAGCAAATAAATTATTGATTTCTTGAAAATTTTAACACCCAATTAATTGTTGGTTCTTTTAAAATTTTAACACCTAATATTATTAAGAAATTAAAATTAAAAAAAAAATTAATGTTTAGTGAAAAAAAAAGGAGGCTAGCACGTTTACCGTTCATGTAAATAGTAAATGGACGGAAATTAAAAAAAAAGTGTTTAGAGAAAAAAAAAAAAAAAGAGGGCAAGCCGTTTACCATTTAAATAAACAATAAACATGTAAAAAAAAAGGTGGGGGGTCCAAGTGGATGCTGAAAAAAAATAAATACTTAAAAAAAAAAAACCAAAGTAATATAGCAATGAACAAGTGATTAACACTGTTCATTGCTACGATGAAAATGGTTTTTCTTTAATATATAGTATTAGATTTTTTACTTGCTCTATGCTTGCGGATTGGATAAAATATATAAAATCGTTTAGAAAAATTATTTTAATTTAATAATCTGTTTTGTGGTAAAAAATAATTATAATTTTTTAATAAAAAGTTTTATATTTAACTCTTTCTTTTTAAAAAAAATTAAAAAATAAATAATAAAGGAAATAAATTGTTGGTTTCTTTAAAATTTTAACACCCAATTAATTGTTAGTTCTTATAAAATTTTAACATCAAATACTATTAAGAAACAGAAATTAAAAAAAAAATCAATGTTTAGAAAAAAAAAAAAAAAGGGTGCAAGCCGTTTATTGTTCATGTAAACAGTAAACAAGTGGAAATTTTTTAAAATATTAAATGTTTGCAAAAAAAAAAAAAAAAAAAAAGAGGGGGGTCTAGTAAAAAAAATCAATGGAAATTAAAAAAAAAAAAAACTGTAGCAATGAACAGTGATTTTTTACTGTTCATTGCTACAGTGAAAATCATTTTGGTTTAGTATATAGGATAATATATATATATTATGCCCGTTACGTCACTCTTCAACAAAATGAGAAACTACTCTAACTCACACTACTCCATAGTTAGCCTCCATATACCAGACTATGGAGAGGAAAGCGTCAGCCTTCAAGACTGTCCAAAACACTTGTATGTGGGTTCGGGAGGTGGTGGTGAGTACTGACATTTCTATAGAAGCAGATGAGAGCTTAGGTCATTAAAAGTGGCTGCGACGACACCATTTTCCCATTTGCACATGATTCCAATTTATACCATCAACTTGGCTTTTTGTATTTGATCCACAACAAAAGGACCATTTTGCATATTCTCTTGGATTCCAGGTACCATTTGTCATCCCTAGTCATCGAAAAGAGTTTCATATGTAACAAGCCCACATAAAAAATAATCCAACAAAATAAATGCTACTCTACTTGTAAACCAAAATGCTAACATATATTAATTTCTTCATTAATTCCGAAAATAGTATTTACAAATGCCACTGCCTCCACCATTACATCTTCCTCTTTGACTTCCTTTACTAGCTGAAAAAAGAAGAAAACTAAACCCCAAACAAAACATAACAAAGGGCATTTCTTTTCTCACTCCATTCCATTAAAGACCTAAGCAACAAAACCTATCGAACTAACCTAAAAAATAACAACAAAAGGTATCTAGGTAAGGTGAGGTCAGGGTTTTCTTTTTAACTTCAACCCCATCTTTGTACTACCAACTACTTTAATTCCTATTTCATGCAAAAACAGTGCCACAAGACAGCCATCAGAGAAAAAGCGGCCTGTTCTTCCCATTTCATGCAAAAACAGTGCCACAAGACAGAGCCATCAGAGAAAAAGCAGCCTGTTCTTCCTCTCTCAGCTTCCTTTTCCTTCGGCACCTTTGTTTCTTCACAATTGATGATCTTTGTAGTATCATTTCTTCACCCAAAACAATCAAGCTCATTCTCAATGACTCACTGATCACTCCATTACCACTACCAACTTTAACAGTACTTGTGGTACCAGCAGCTGTAGTGCTATTAGAGCTGTTTGAGGCACTAGTGCTGTTGCTGGTGATTTGGGTTTTTTCCCTTTTCTTCTCTGGACCTTTTTCTAAGCCCACCGCAGTTCTCTTCTTTCTGTATCTGATCCCACAAGCATTACACAGTGACTGATGAAAAAACAAAAGTCAAAATCATAAACCCAAACATGGAAAATCAGAAGGACAAAAGAGCACAAAAAGTGATTACTATAAGGTCCAATGAAAATGTCTAAACCCACAAGTCAAAATCACAATCAAATACTATAAGAAACTACAAAGACATAAATGGTGACCAAAACAAGCCTGTTGAAAATGGAAATACTGAGATCTTCAAATCAAAATATATAGCAGATCTAGACAGAAAATCATAAAAAACAAGGTAGAGTGTAAAAATCATAAACAGTGACCAGTACATGGCACAGCTAAAACTACCAAAACCCATTTGAAAACATTAATGATGCAGATCAAGAAATCAAAAACCTAAAAACAAAACGAAGAGAAAAAGGAGATAAAGTGAGCCCAAGTTCAAACACCAAAAACCCATTTGTCAATATTACGGACCCAGATCAACAAATCAAAACCCCAAATGCAAAATGAACAAAACAAGGAAGACAATAAAGGCTATAAGAGACCTAAAACAACAAAGATATATACACACCTTGGGGCCAGCTGGTCCACCTCTCCACAGTGGAGTCTTAGTAGTCTTGCAATCGGTACATGCCCTTTTGTCCTCAACACCTCCACCACTAGCATTACTCTTGTCATCTTCACGTGATGATTTCTGTACCATATAAATATTTCATATTACACATTGAAAAGAAAAAAAGAGAGCAAACGATGATCATCAAGAAATATAATACAGATAATCATTTGGTTGAAAGTACTTACCCTTCCTCTAAGATCCATGATCACACCCATAAAAAAAGCAATTTTTTTCCTTTTTTTTCCCTATCTCTCTTTGTTCAAACTAGAAAAAAGATTATTTTACTGCATTAGACTAATGGGTTGTCATTTTTAAGATATTTCAGGTATCAAAGGTGGTAACATTGTAAGGCTCTAATCATTTCTTGATGACTTGATGAAAAGAAGAAAAGGGCATGACACTATACCATATTGTAAGAGAAAAGGGAGCAAAGAAAATGTTTTTGTGAGAGTGAAAAAAGACAAGACCGAATATAGAGAAACAGAGAGAGGTAGAGAGGTGTTGGAGAGGCAAACGATGGGTGGGTTCTGTTTCTCTGTCTCTGATTCTCTGCGGGTGGATGATGGGATATACACAAAAACCCTAGGTACTTTTCTTGGGAGCTTGTGAAGTTACAAGAAAGGGCTTGGGTTTGCTTTCTAGGTAGCATTGGCTGCCGGGTTTTCTTGGTGAAAAATGAAATATTTGGGAGGTGAAGAAATGCTCAAATGACACAACACCCGCCAAATATTTTAATTGGCTTTTGACACGTGGCTACATGCACGGGTGGTTTGCTTTTTTATTGCTTGTTTCTACTCGTGTGGATTGGGAAGTTTTTTAATAGTACTCCATTATATTTTTTATTCGCGCTACACTGCGAGTTGAATAAAATATATAAAATTATATTAAAAAATTATTTTTGTTTAATAATTTATTTTATGATAAAAAATAATTATAATTTTTAAATTAAAAAAATTATATTTAATTATTTCTTATTTGTATTTTTTAATTTTAGAAATAAATAATAAAGCAAATAAATTATTGATTTCTTTAAAATTTTAACACCCAATTAATTGTTGGTTCTTTTAAAATTTTAACACCTAATATTATTAAGAAATTAAAATTAAAAAAATTCAATGTTTAGGGAAAAAAAAAAGAGGCCAGCAGTTTACTCGTTCATATGAATAGTAAACGGACGAAAATTAAAAAAAAAGTGTTTAGAGAAAAAAAAAAAAGAGGGCAAGCCTTTTACCATTCAAATGAACAATAAACGGATAAAAAGAGAGGAGGGAAGGCCAGCGGGTGTTGACAAAAAAAAAATGAAAACTTAAAAAACAAAAAAAGTCAAAGTAATATAGCAATAAACAAGTAATTAACACTGTTCATTGGTACGATGAAAAATGATTTTTATTTAGTATATAATATTAGATTTTTTACCCGCTCTATGCTACGGGTTGGATAAAATATATAAAATCGTTTAGAAAAATTATTTCAATTTAATAATCTGTTTTATGGTAAAAAATAATTATAATTTTTTAATAAAAAATTTTGTATTTAACTATTTCTTATTTTAAAAAAAATTAAAAATAAATAATAAAGGAAATAAATTGTTGGTTTCTTTAAAATTTTAACACCCAATTAATTGTTGGTTCTTATAAAATTTTTACACCAAATACTATTAAGAAATAGAAATTAAAAAAAAAAATCAATGTTTAGAAAAAAAAAAAAGTGCAAGCGTTTACTGTTCACGTGAACAGTAATGGGTGGAAATTTTTTAAAAAATTAAATGTTTACAAAAAAAAAAAAGGCAGGCGTTTACTGTTCAAATGAACAGTAACGATTTTTTTGGAGGGGGAGCCAAAACAATCAATGAAAAGTAAAAAAAAAAAAAACTGTAGCAATGAACAATGGTTTTCACTGTTCACTGCTACAGTGAAAACCATTTTGGTTTAGTATATAGGATAATGTTTTAACCTACAATTAATTAAGTGTTAATCAATCGCTAACTGGTTACAAAATGCCTGAATTTGTGATCAACAAAAAAAAATCCCTACTTTAATTTGAATTTAAAAATTTTTTATCCATAATTAAATTCTTCCATCACATTAATCATTAAAACAAAGATGGTTATCTTATATTTAAGAACTTTCAAAACATATATTATTGTTTTAATAATTCATGTATTTAAATATATATATTTTGTAAATACGTGTTATTATTTTAAGTTAATTAACTTATCAAAAAATTTTAATTACAGATACAAAAATTCAAAACCCAAATCAGAATAAAAAAGATTAGAAACTTTTTTTCTTATTAATCAAGAATCATAATATTTTATAACCAATTAGCCTCAATCAAATACTACAATATGTAAACTATATTTTTTTTACATCCCATTCCAACTATTCCCAAAAAAAAAAAAAAAGATTTTGAGCTTTTATTTCAATATAATAGATAAAAATTCTTTTAAATAAAAATAATAATGCGATGTCTTTTAAATAAAAAGTAATAATGTGATGTAGGTATAATATTTCATGCCGAAAAATTACAGAATAATCTTCCAGTAATTTAAAACTTTCTTTGATAGGTTCGAGCAATAAAATTAACAACAAGTTAGTATAGAAAAACCTAGAAGTAGATTTGTTTATTATATTATCATTTCAAATTGGCGTAAGTGATTATCTAATAGCTCAGGGAATTAGGAATTTCAAAATAATAAAGATGGCCCAAAAAATTTAGAATAATATTTTTTATCAATATATAGAGTTTAAATTTTAGAATCATATTTATTAAAATGAGTTAAATCATATCGTTTTTTCTTCCAACAAAATTATTCTTATATCTACATTTAATGCAGGATAGAAATACCCAGAAAAAACCAAAAAAAAATAATAATTTGATAAGTACCCTCTAATCATCAATAAATAAATTTTGATAATTAGCCAATTAGGAACCAAAGAAAGAATGAACACTAAAGATAAAACTGAAAAATTTTATGATATTCAATAAATAAAAAACTAACAATATTTATTACATACGAAATAAAAATATACACAAAAGGAAGAAAGAAATAGAAAATTTAAAAAATTATATAAAAAAATTATTATCATTTTTAATATATTTGAATATAATTTTGTTCTGTTATGATATTCAAGAAAAAATTTAACAATATTTATTCATAAGAAAAAAATAAAAAATAACTAAATTTATATAAAAAAATTCTTAGTATTTTTAATATATTTGAATTTTGAATATAATTTCCTTCCATGTTTGTCTCTCTTGTCAAAATCCACGCAGTTGCAGTTATATGACAATTGTGAAGGAAAAATAGCACTTAGATCGCAACCTTTTATGTCCTAAGGCAGACAAAAAGTCCACAGCCCTTTGCCTCTTTCAACAAGGACCAAATCACTAGAATCAGTCTTCCAATCTTGTGCTGTCTTGTGCTGTGAGAAATAGATTTGAAATTCTATTCACCAAGAAAATAATAATCAATTTATAAACAATGGGCATCATGAACAGTATCGGAAGCAATGTGTCGCAGGAGGCTTGAGACAGAGATTTTGGTCTGATTTTAAGCTCTGCTTTCAATGACAAAATGGAACTATTTAGTGGGATTTTATTTGGCTTATCACTTTCCCATGCTAAAAACCAAGAGGACATCCATCAAAAGTTGAGCCTAAGTACCTCTCTCTCAAGAACAAGACAGTAGGTGCTTTGAGCAGAAAAGCTGTATCTCTATCTCCTCGGTTAACGGGAAATCATGCCAGAAAATGGATTGTTTGTAGTCTTCTCAACTACCAAGCATGCACCCGCCACAATTAGCTATTCTCAAACTCTTACCTCTTCCTAAATAAGAGTAAATTTCCAATTTTGCAAAACAAATTATATGGTTATTTTAATTTTAAAATTAATTAATTAGTGTTTCGACAAACATGAATAATATTTTATTTAATATTATTTTATTTTAAAAAATTTTCTTTATCAAATCATTCCATATTATTTACTTGCTTTTCTTTCTCTATTTTTTTTTAAATAAACATGTAATGGACGAAAGTCCGTACAAATATTTTGAAGTATTTTTGAGTATTTGGAGTATCATTTAGAAACATGCCATACGATATTGTAAAAATATCGAATAATTATTTGAAGGCCGGTTCATATTTGAGATTCAAATTGACATAATTAAAGATGCATGAAGTAGTCAAAGACCAGAATAAAAAATTGAGCTATTATACAATATTATCACACCAGATTGTTGTTTTTAAAAATCATAAGTTAGTTCATTTATCAAAGTTGATTGTAATTTTTTTTTAATTTCTAAATTAATATTTTAAATGAACTTTTAATTTTGTGTGTAGTAAATAAGATTAGAAAATTTGATTGCCAAATAAAAGATATCTTAGGCAAAAAAAAAAAAAAAAAATTAACTATAATGAAAACCAACAAATTTTCAATTTTGTTGTTGTTTTGATCTAGAAAGGAATAGATAGAATATATCCGAAACATTTTAACCAGTATTTGGCTAATATATCCGAGACAATTTGAGATTTCGGATGAGATGAAATTTGTTTCGTTTTTTAAGATGGTATGAAACATTTCGGTCATTCCAACTGAAACTGAATAAAATTGACGACTATATTTATAAATATTCTCATTATGGAAAAATTTAGTAAGTATTTTTTATTTTTCCCAAAAGGGTACATGTTAAGATCAATACTGTTTCTCAAGGATGAAATGTGGACAGATGAGATGAGAAAGATGCAACTTTTCTTGGAAACATGAAATCATGTGAAAAGAAAAAAATGCTTCTCAGCTGGCTTCTAGGACAACGCACGCACACAAGAGAGTCAATATACAATACATGGAGATTTAACCCGAAATTCTTTTTTTGATAAGAAAAAGAAAAAAACTACAAGATTCAATTAATGATGAATTAACTCAAATGCATCTCAAAGGATCTTTTCGTGTTCTTGATATTACAACTGATCATATATGAAGAGATTAATGAATTAATGTTTTCTTACGTTTCTGAACTATTTCTTTTGTATTTAAAAAGTTTCTTTATTGTTTTTATTTTATTTTAATATCACATTCTTTGGTAAACTAGTTTTATTAACATGGTTAAAATCTGACATGTTAACGGCATAAAATTTATCGCTATACATATACATCTTTGTCTCCAAAAATTTTCGGAAATTTTACTCTACTCCTTTTATTTTAT